AGTCTTGCAGGGGAAAATCTGAAATTTGGAGGTTTAGTACTTAAAAGTGTGAATTACTTACATGTCCAAGTGATTTCCTTAGGTTTCCTTGTTTGGGGAGGGTAAGGTGACTCATGAGTTTTAATCATTTCAGAGGAGCCACACTCCACCGGATGTACTGGTGGCAGAGTCAGCGCTGCTGCCCTTCCGTGGGGAAGCTCCTGTTGTACCCAAGCACTTCTCCAAAAAAGGACCCAGATCGTGTCACCAGTGATTAATTTAGACGGGAAGAGCTGGCAGCCAACCCAAATGTGCCAATCCGCACGTATGCATGCTAAATTATGTGCTGGGGCCAAGGATGGTCAGGAATCTCACTTTCCCACGCTCCCAACGTTGTCCTTCCTCCCTCTCTCCTCCCGGACCCGCTGCCACCACCTTGTGGTCAAAAAGGCATCTCACGGTCTCACCAGGCCAGATTTAAGTTTTGATTTTTGTTTGAAGCCAAAACACCTCCCCAGGCCTGACCACTGCTCACAGGAACACACACCCAGGGAATGGTGAGAGGATGTGTTACCTCCATCTAGCCAGCAGCAAAGAGAAATCAAAGCAAACCAGGGGAGCAGAGCTGGAAGCTGCCCGTGGAAGTTCCCTCCGTGACAGGCACAGACTCCCCCTTCACTCCACGTTCCCCAAAACACAGCTGGCATTGCAAAGCTTTGCACCCACCACTGCAGAGCTCCAGGGCTGAGAAGAGCAGGTTGTGCCACTCAGAAGAGGGATCTTGGTTGTCCCCGCCAGCTTCACACCTTGGCTGTGCAATCCTGTACTTGGGGAATGCTGTTAGCATCACAATCACACAACAGCTTGGGGTTTTCTTTGCAGGGTAAAACGGTGGGGAAGGGATCAGTTACCTAAAAGAAAGGAAATACTACAACCCAGGGCACAGATAGATATGAGATTTCTGGACTGCAAACTCCCAGCTGATACTTTCAGTCACCTCATCCAGTTAACTAAGCTCTTAAAAGAAGCAGAAAATGATGTCAAATCTTCGATCATGCCTGTAGAAACACTGATTCGATTTCAGTCTGCATTTAGGTTTCTGCCTCTTCCAATTTTCTTTTTTCACCTGTTAAAGCTGTAGAAATAATTCCATTCCTGTACACCAGTGCTTATTTACCCAAGCCTGAGCGTGTTCCTCCAAAATTAGGCCAAGCACAGTAACTGCAAAAACTGTGCCATGTGAGTTGACCAGATGATCACAACAGTCTGCAGTCTTAATTATTTCCATGCAGGTGAGAAAAGAAAATCAGAAGCAATTTTCCTCACCAAAGGAACCAGCTTAGCCCTTTTAAAAGCAGTCTTAAAGCTTTCTGCTATGGGGAACAGCCTGTAGAGAACCACCGCCATAACCTCACTAAGGCCGGAGCCTTTAGCTCATCCTTTAAAAACAAGTTTTAGCCACCTCAAATCTTACTGCTGCAGGGACAAAAAAGCAAAATAGCATGAACATTAAAACTCAAAGATAAATCAACCCCACCAAAAGCTGAAAACCCAAGTTCCACATCTCCCATAAGAAGGGTTGATAAGCAAAGATAACTGACCAGCATCTGACTGACTGCGTGGAAAGACTGAGCACAAGGGATTCTGGAAATCTGAGAGTCTGCACACTAGAAAAGATGACATTCAAAAGAGTCCCTTAAAAATTGCTATGAGACATTAGGAATCTGTCTTGCAGCTGGATTCTTCCCAAACCTATGGCTGAGCTCCTGCCTTGCCATGGCTGCATGCTTTTTCTGTTAGCACATCACCACAAATATCATGTCAGCATCAAGGAGCACTCAGGTGTTCATTAAGGAATTGGCTTTAAGTCACGGCTCAGCAAGCCGTGAATGCCATGTTTTGGTATCTAACCCTAATCTTTTTCATATTTCAGCTTTCTTTTTCATAAGTAATAAAACCTAAAAAATTCAGTTTTGCTGACTGCTGTGCTTCTCTGTTTTGCTCTTCCACCAGAAAAAAGCATTTGATGATATCCTCACCAACAAAGCACCTGAGCTACTGAAAGATTTGGATACTTTCTTAGGGGATAAGCAGTGGTTGGTGGGGAATTCTGTAAGTATAATTTTTGTTTCTCCCATTCCCATCAGATTGCCAGAAAACTCAAGTAATGGCCTACTGCTGAATTTCTGGGTTTCATGTCAGGCCATGAAGGAACTCTTCCCCACACTTTGAGCCCTTTATTCTTACCAATACACAACTGGTCGCTTAATTGCAAAGTGAAAATGGTTTTCCACAATATTAGAAAAGTGAGGCAAAACAGGACTAGGATCTGCATTTTCTAAACCAGAAAATGCATGTTCATAAGTATGTTGACACAAAACATTTTAAATGCCTTTCTTTGAACTTGTGAACATAAATTCATGACTACACAGAACCCTGTTTATCATCACCGACTTATTTATAAGGCAATACAAAAAACCTCTATATAAACATTGTACCTTTTTTACCCCAAACTCTTTTCTGCAGCAGTTTCAGCAGGAAAGACTAATATTGTAACACGACTAATATTTGTGGCCAGGACTTGATTTGAACCAGTATTTACTTAAGTTAAGCCTTGTCTTGGAACCTAACTACTAGCCCTGTAATAATGGGCTTTAAAAAAACCCCAACCCCAAAATGAAAACTTAAAACAGATAAATTCAGTTTTTTGAGAGTATTAGTAGTCCTGGCTTTTGAGATTACCAACTAAAATTTACTGCTTTCTGTCCCATTTCCACTAGGTAACGTGGGCTGATTTCTACTGGGATGTGTGCAGCACAACACTTCTGTCCTGTAAGCCTGACCTGGCAGACAAATACCCCAGGCTTCTGGCTCTCAAGGACAGAGTGCAAGCACTGCCAGCTATTGCAGCCTGGATCCAGAAAAGGCCAAAGAGCGTCATGTAGATCAGCTGCTCAGAGAAACAAATGCTTGTTTAGTTTTCAGTATGACAAACATCCTAAGTTATTAACTTCTAAATCATTTAAATTAACTTCAGATGGCTGTGCTGTATCAAATCAAAATCTACCACTTGTATCCACTTGCAAGAGAATCTAAAATACTGATTTAATAGAGTAATAAATATTAATTCACAGAAGTGTGGTTGCAATCACATCCTCCCTCTACTAACACTGTGCTTCATCAAAGCAAATCATGTTTTGTGCACTCTTAAAAGGGAAAAAATATTAATACACCTTCATGGAGAGGTGCAATCTCAACAGCATTTTGCCTACTGCAGTCTTCCAATCTAGAGGAAATCAAGTTAAAAGGAGAGGGAAAATATGTGGAACACTAAGAAAAAAAAAAAAAAGTAAAAAGACCCACTTAGTCAGTAAAATTCAAGGGCCTGAAAAAAGTGTTTGAGAAGCTTGAGGTTAATGCTGTACTCCTGAAAAAAACCAAATAAAAACCTCCAAAACAAGCCAAAAAGCAGTTGCCCAGCTGAGCTGGTGCCCACACCAGCAGCAGTTCTCCATAAACACGCCAGCTGCAAAAACATTTAACAGCTCGGTACCTATGCCAATAAGTAGGAGACACAAACTGGAGGTCAGTGGTGGCAGCCAGGCTTAGAACAAATGAAGGGTTTGCTCTTCCAGGACTGGAGAAAAGGCAGGTGGAAATCTTGGCAATGTGGACTGCTGTGGATGAAAGTGGTTTACACAAACTCAAGGGGAGACAAGTGCTTGTGAGAGGTCTCCATTGTATGGTGTAAGCAGAGAAACCACAACAAACTTGGGCAACACTCCATGCTGGAAATCGCCACTGTTGGGAAAGTATTTCCCTTCACATGTACTTTCCCCTCCCACCCCAAGTATTGTTTCATTGAATCATGAGTGATGCCAAACAACCCCTCAGAGAGACAACTCAGGTATTGTCAGAACAGAAAGAAACAACCTTTACTCATTCCCATCTCCACCTGCTTTGCAACTCCTTGTGTGCTTTGCTCTGGCTCTTCATACACTTTTTCCTTCTTTAGCTCCCAAAACTCCTCTCTTCTTCAGCAACTGACTCCAGAGAGTGGCTCTGTGTTCTTTTCCCTCTGTACATCTTTCCCAATCAGAAAAACAGAATCACAGGATAGTTGAAGTGACCTCTGGTCCAAGCCCCTGCTCACACAGGGCCACCTAGAGCCAGCTGCCCAGGACTGCATCCAGTTAGTTTGTGGCTATCTCCCAGGATGGTGGCCCTGCCATCTCCTGAGACCCCAGCTACAAACCGTAGGAACAGTTACAAGGAGGAAAGGCAGAGTTCCACAGCACCTACAGACAGATACTGACCCCAAGGGTAACCACTGCTCCTCCAGAGCTCAAAACAAAAAGCCCAGACACATCCAAAACACCACACAACCCACCCTGAAGGGCAGGGATCTTGTTTCAATCCACACTTGAACTAAGCAAGAGAGAACATGCAGGTACAACTGGATAAGATTTGGGTTAGCAGCATGCTCAACAGAAACACACAACCTAATTAGCTGTAGCATTAAACACCAGTGGTTCTCTGTTAAATCCCACTATTTAGCTCAGCAGAACCAGTGGAAATAAAGAAGCATGGAAAACTGTTTCTTACCCATATCTCTTCTCAAACAATAGACTACTTCCTCACCTTGTTTCAGTTGTGCATTTTGGAACAGACAGCACAGCCACAGAACATTTCTAGGAAAAGCCAAGCAGTTTAGTCCAGACTTGGAAAACAAGTTTCGGAAAAGCTTTAATTTCCCACCATTTTGAATTTGCAGAAATCATGTACAGTTGACCACAACACCCACAGACTTGACCAAACCATTTGGCAGGAGTTCTGTTTTTACAATCAATATCCTCACACCACTGTAATTAGAGTATAATGACACACTGGTAATTAACTACTGCTGGACAAAGCCAGGCCAGTTCAATTGGAACATTCCAGCTGGTTTGAGAGCTAATTGATTTTTAACATGCACATTTTCATCCCCTCACCTGCCCCAAACCACTGCAACCACAAAAACATTTTGTCAATCTATGGCATTTTATTGGAACAAGTTGATACAAAATCAGTACGGTACATCAAATGAACCAAAACAAGCAGAAACAGACTCGAGCATTGTCAAATAAGGCACGTATAAAAAAATCTACACGCAGAATCCAGTGAAACAGACAGTTTATATATATACATATATATTTGGAGGTAGAAATAATTACAAAAATACTGACAAATCTTAAGCAGTAGCAGATTTGTTAAAACAATTACTACTTCGGTCCCCATTTTCAAAACTGATCTGTAAAACCTTTATTTAGCATCTGAGGTTGGCACATTTGGGTCATTTATGCTTTTAAGCATCAAAAGAATGCTATTGGTGTTAAAAATTTTCAATATCATGAGCAATAAAACAATGAAACTACAAAAAGTTATAAACGTTCATAAAACTCCTGGTCAACAGTAATGTAAGAGTCCTTGGGGTATCTCATCACATTTCTTCCTTGAATTTCACAACATATTTACATTTTAGAGACCCAATGAAGCTTTTAATAGCGTAGCTATATCTGCAGGAATGGTTCCTTCTTCTCCTGAGGAATAAAGAGAAGCATTAGTACAGCTTAAAATATTTTGCATAAACAGATAAAAGCCTACATCCCCAAAACAGTAAAAAAATCCTCTGCTTGTAGGACTTGGTCACTGATTTCTGGGTCAGACTCAGAGGGCACCTCCTGTCAAATCAAAAACAGCCAGCAAAAATACATCTTTCTAGTTCAACATAAAAAACCCCAAACAAAAAAAGGCTTGTCTGCATGAAGAACATTCTTTTTTTCAGAGTAACATATTGCAGCTTTAATTTATTTAAATGGTCATCATTATGTGCAAGACACTCACCTGATTCTGCTGCAGTCATATCTTGTTCTAACTTCAATTTCTGTTGGCTGATCTTGAGCATGGTTTCTTCAATAGTACCCTTACTGATGAGCTTTATGACTTGTACTTCTCTGAAAAAGGCCAAAAAAATCCATTTGCCTTGTTTGGATTAATGCAAAAGAGAAGGATGCTATGACTTGACTCAGCTGGCTGGGATTTAAAGCAAGGATGGGGAAATGAATCAGAGAGCAATATAAAGAGCTTCTAGATTTTTCTCTGGAATACCTGTGCTCTGTATTGCCAGAAAACACATTTTCTCCTGCACTCTTAGCCACTGCAAATATCTGGACAGTCACAAAAATATCCATTAATATAAACAAGTCCAATTCCCCCTATTTCCCTTTTACTGTTGAATACAGTTGAAATTCCATACATTCTATGGTTTCACTCTCTAGGATAGGGTGATACTTAAAAGCTTAGAAGTCTCCTGAAGAGAACAAACAGCTTGGCCAGATAGTCCCAAAGAATTCAGATCTACCTTGGAATAGTTCCCAGCACCAGGAAATTTAAGAATTATGCACAGTTCAAAAGGTATAATGAACTAGGAAAAGGAGGAAAGTGTAAATAAAGGTTTGTTCTGCCAGCAACATGGACTAAGACTATTACATTTCCTAGCTCCCACACAACCCACAGCTGCTCTACACAAGTCTCTGCTCAGAACTTTTAATGATAAATACTGTCCTTTTAGCCTCCTTTGAAAGCTCTCCTCCAAGGAAAACCAAGCACTGTCATTTGAAAAACTCTTACCGTGTCTGCCCCACTCTGTGGCACCGGTCTTCGGCCTGCTTATCGTTGTAAGGGTTGCAGTCAATGTCGTGAAGGATAACAACATTGGCCGAGGTCAGATTAATGCCCAGGCCCCCAGCTTTGGTGGACAGAAGGAATACAAATATACCCATGTCTGTATTGAACTCATCTATCAGATGTATCCTGCAGAACACAAGACAGCATGCATCAGGCCTTGGAAAACACTCCACACCGGCTCCAGAGCTGAACACAGAAGTTGGGATGGTCTTTTGGAAGAGAGGACAGTGGCACTGCAGAGCCGCTCCAAAGTACAGATGTTATGCAGCAGGAAAAAGGGTACCAACAGTCTTCTGCAGCGACCAGAGAAATACAGAGTGACAGATGGATAGCAAAGAGTGAAAAGAGGGTTTGAAAAAGATTTTTGATGATCACAGAACACAAAGAGTCAGTGAGAGGACAATGCAAGACTGAAATGAAATGAATGGGGAGGCAGGGGATGAATTTCGCTTCATGACAATCTCCTGTACTAACTGCACATGCAAGGGTAGAGGCAGGTATCAGCTCTACATGGGAAGTTACATCACAGCAAGAATGACAGCTTTTTTTGAAATGAAGGAAAAAGCATAAAAAAAAATCTTCAAAAATTCTCTCTTTTAAAAAGAAAGAAAACCAGTTCAGCTCAAACAAGAAAAGCATTGAAACATTTTCAGCTGCAGGGACAGACAGAAAGGTTTGTCCTAGAGAAACAAAGGAATGTATCTGCCTGTTGTGAAAGAGATACACTCTACTTCCAAGGAATAGCCACAGGAGTTATGACAGGCTGACAGAAATCAAATACAACAGGAACTGCTGAAGACACATATTTTTCATTTCCATGGCTAAGACTGTTAACCCCACCACCTAAACCTCATCTTTCAGCCTCACCCTTACTAAGGTGATCTGAAATTCAACATTAAACACCTTCTGTGGTCAGTGTCCAGTGAGCACAGACTTCTGTACTGGAAAACAAAGGTAAGGATCCAAAGTCACCTCCCCCTCTCCAACACATTCACTTTCTCTCATTTTTGGCAAGAGTCACATACCTCTCTGAAATTTGTGTTTTTCCATCCAGCCTAATATATCTATGTTGCCAGTGTTTTAGAAAAACTTCCAAGATGTCCAGCATCATAGTGAACTGGCTGAACAACACAACTCTGTCACCCTGAAAAGGACAAAGCAAAGCAAAAATTTTGAAACGTGTCAACTATGAAGCATAAGAATTCTTTATTGATGCAAATATGTCATTTTACTGTCACAGAATCCCTGTTTTCCAAAATAAAAGACTAAGCTGAATATCATCAAGTCAGGATTGACTTGCGGTGCAGATTCCATATCCAGTAGTTCTGCATTAATTCACTGACTGCTATTGCAGTAATATTTTAATTACTTTGTACTTAGGTGGCTCAAACAAATCACATATCAAATGCATAAGCAACAGATCACTTCATGCATAAACATCAAAATACTTTCATTCAAAACTTAAATTTAAATATTTCACGTAATACACAGAGTAGCCCTATTTTGTCTGAAATAGTCAGATCCACAGCATCCTCCTGCTCAAATTCAGGATACTCTGAAGCAATATGGGCACACAGTTATTTGCAAAATAAACGTATTTGAATCTCTGGGCAGGGCTTCAAGCAGGGACCTCCTCCTCCCTTTCCACGTAACACTCACGTGATTATTCTAATGTAATACAGTTATTCAACTGCCAAGAGAATGTCCAAATCCATGAGGTGTGAAAATTATGCAAGACTTCATATATTAATAGAGTAGTTAACTTGGGATGAGTACTCTGAAACGTGGTAAACTGGAAAAATTTATTTTGGCTGTCTCTAAAGTGATGTGCATACACAGGGCTGCACATTAAAGGCTGTAAGTGTTGCTTCTCAATTCTGCACATGCACTAAGTTACATTGTCAAACTCCACAGCAAAGCAACTGGGCTGCATAGAGAGCTGGCAGATAATAATTTAACCAGTTATTTAGAGACACTCTTTGGACAGGAAAAATCTTCAGCCATCTGCAATACCTTCTCTTTAAGGTCAGAGAGAATGCGTTCCAATGCTCTAAACTTTCCAGAGTCCAGGATCTGATCCACGTCTAACATGAAGTCATTGATGTGAGAATATTGCTTACAAAGCACGTGCAGCTCAAAATCTGTCATTACTGCCATATCTTCAAAGATAAGGTCAGGGTTAGCATCACAATGTGTGGGTTCCTATTAGCAAAAACAAAGGGAAATAATGCAATACACAACCTCACCAGAGAACTAAAAACAAAATCACCACACAATAACATCCATAATCTCTGAAGGAAAAAAGTAGCACACCTAAACATGGACAAATGCTAGAGCTTGGCTCATGCAAGCAATGAAAGAGGAAATCTCAACTTCAGGTTCATAGGAGAGGATAATTACTTCACAGTTTAGCTCTCACAAGCACTTATGTTGCCAAAAACTTAATAAGGATATGCTAAACCTTCTTAACAATTACCTATTTCCCAAGCCCTATGACCTTTTACCCCTTTTATCAGACCTCTTCCCCTGAAGACACATTCCCTAAAAGGGAGGTCCAATCCTTGGATAGATGGTAGAAGACATGGAAAGCCCAGCCCAAGAGGTAGGGTGGGTAGAGGAATGTCATGCCTGGAAGAAAGAAGAAAAAAAAGCCACATCTGGACAGTATGATGGTATGGAAGTAAAAAGGGATAAAAACCTTTCAATGGGTCACTTCTTGCTTCCCCAAGCTTGTCTGGGGGGTTTCACTTTAAGACAAAGCTGAAGAATATTCAAAGCCAGCTGCAACTTTTTTAGAACACCTGCTGCATGCTGAGGTTTTTTTTTATATTTTAGACATTACCAACAATTTTCCCAAGCTCCTCAGCCATTAACCTCATACAAATTAAAAAAAAAAACCTTAATAGATCAAACTTAGGCCTTCCCTATTTTACTTCTGTACTACTCAGTTCTTGCTACTTAGAAAGCTACTAAACTCAAGTGCCCACCTAAAAATTTTTCCATAAACACTTCGGGTTTAAATTCTGGGGTGGAGGGAAGAGGTGCTAAGGCAGAGTTTATGAAAAGGAGATAATTGCAGACCCACAACTGTTCTCTCCATTCTCACGATACAAAAATCAGTGTTAAATACCTACAGAGCTTGACTAGAGCACTGAACAGATGCAGAGAAATAAAAAGCAGCAACAATGAATGAAGCATGGCAAAGACACATTTTTGACCAGAAGCCTGACAACAAAACACACAAAGAAACAAGCGTGCACTAGAAATTCTGAGCAATGAAGGATTGCTTCTGAATCTCATCCCCTTACCTTGAGCATGAGGGTGGACATTGTCCTGAGCTTTTCATTTGTGTAGTACTGACGATGCAAAAGTGGGTGATTGGCCATTTTTCTAAGTTGCATCATTGCATTTCCCATATCAGAGTTTTTCTCTGTAAACAAAGAAGGCATCTTTGAACTACTATAGAAAAGAACCATCTGAAACACTTTTATTTCTCAGCAGAGCTTTGTTTGCAAGAACTCAGTTTGAAAATTCACCTATTACTGAACTTCAAGCAAATTCATAGAAGGGATATAGACAGTTTATGAGCATTAGACATTTCTACAAAGCAAAGACTGTAGTCATGTTCAACATATGTGTCAGCATGACAAAATCCACCAAAAGGAAACAAGGCCCTTACGTACCATTACTGTTAATGGTTTTCTTGAGCTTGTTTAAAAGAGCCAAGTAGAGTTGTTCCTGTTTATCAGACATGGCACACAGTTCAATGAGATCTTTTTTGGGAGGTAGTTGTTTAAGGACCTGACAAAACAAAATGATACCAGATAAAACCCTCATTGTTGTGAACCATCAGTAATTCTGCACTCTCTTGTAGCTGTTATGATACTCTGGTAATTCTCCTCATCCCAGCTCCTTTCACTGCTTGCAACTTCATTAACTCAGGCGGCAATTCAACCCAGGTTTGACCTAGATTATACATGAACCTCCCCATCAAGTAACATGGTCTGCACACTCCAGAACTGCATGAAATAATATTTATTATATGCAGTACTGGGGATCTACTCCCTTGCTAATCAGTGTTACCCCCTTCAGGCCACCGAAGTCTGCAAGTGCCCATTAACATATTCTAAGATCAGTAAGTAATTTCATCTCATATTATGGTGTTGAGTCTCAGAGATTATCAGGCTTTTTTGATAACTCATATCCATCATTCTAAAGATAAAATGTTACCTCATCTTTTACTCTTCTCAAGATGAATGGCTTTATTATCTGCTTTGCATGTGCAATTCTCTCCTTCTCATATATGCTTTGTTCTTCAGCACTCTTCTAAGGAAAACATTGAAAGAATTCAATTGCAGAGTGAAGTTTTCAGCTGTAACATCACCATCTTAACTTCTCTAACTTGATGAAAACCCCAGCCAAAACAGGCATAGTTCACCTGACCATTAATACTCAAAGATACCTTGTTGCAGTGTATTTTAATTTAAAAGGTTTACTCAATTCTTTCATTTTGTAGATTTTCATAATCACATTACCTTTTTCCATAAGATATCAATGAAACAGAAGCTGCGCAGCAATAGCAGTCTTCTAGCACAAAGAAGTTATTTTCAAGAGGAGAATTCATGGTACTCACTGTTTTTGAAGAGAACATTCTTCGAATTTCACTTGTGCTACTGCTGAACATATGGGGCATGACAAAATTCAGGAGGGACATCAATTCCAACAGATTATTTTGAACTGGAGTCCCTGTGAGCAGCAAGCGATTCTTGGCCTGTTTGTCCAAAGTGCAAAGAGCAAGGAGAAACATTTGTCAAATGGGCTAGAAAATATTATTGGCAAAAAACCACAGCCATGGAGAAGTGAGAAAATGAACTTGGTTTAAATGATAACTATTTAAACTTATAATATATTTGGAACTCATGGAATAATTTCCTTGTTAAGTCAACAAGACTGTTTACAGATCTGTGGGGAACTGTGCACCAATTTAAGACAATTAAAAAAGCATTCCTGGGTCTATTAGGCTTCTTCTTGATTGTTCTGTTTGGGCTTTGTTTTGGTTATTGTTGTTGGGTTTCTTTTTCTTGTTCTTGGGGTACTTTTTCTTCCTCCTGATGACTGTGCTAATTGCTGCTCCCATATCAAGTTCTCTAATGTCATACAGTAGTTAAGCACAAGCTTTGAATTGCAAGTACAAGCACGTTTTATTGCTTAAAGATTAGCTTTTTAAAAAGGCTATTGATGAAAACATGAACTTGAAAAACAAGTTGCAGTAGTCCTATCAGAGCGGGTCCTGAAGTACTACGAGGTTTCAGCACAAGTAATCAGAACAGCATCTTTAAAATCTTCACTACTATGGGACGTAATGGGGAATTTGCTTAATACTGAAACTCAGGCACTACCATCATTGTAATGATGGTACAGGAAATTTATTACATTTCTCTGGGAGCTCATGTCCCAGAAGTGATCACAGAGCAGGATCTACTCCTTAGACCACATCAACACTTAAAACCACTTGCATACTCTAGTTCCTCTAAAGTTAGGTGTATTTGAACATTACAGTTAATATTCCATTTTCCCCCTGCTTGTAACTACCAAACAGAAAAGCCAGGAGCTGTCCCCTCTAACCCAGCCATAACCAAACCTCTTACATTAATTGTCATGAGGTGCTGGTAGCGGATGGAGCTCATGTTCTTGAGCATGTGACCTTCATCAAAAATTGCATAGTTAAGCTTCAGCCTGCGGAACAGTCCTCGATCTTCAGAGCTGCTGATTGCAGAGTTGTATCTGTCAGAGACAAATATCACCTGCACTTAGTCTCTCTCTGAAAATGAATGCACTGTTATCACAATCAAATTAAATTCTCTAATATTGATAAGAGTTATGGAGAAAGTACATGAGGGGCAGTAGAACTGCCTGGAAGTAACCAACCACAACAGAGTTGATTACTGGCAAATTATTTCAGTTTACTTGATGAGCCAATGCTCTCAGTAACATTTTCTAAAACTCTGCTGAAGTCTATTACAATGTAATATTATCTGTAATACACATGCTGACAGACAGATATCTAAAGCACCTATGACACAGTATCTCTTACATAATCCTAAAACCCTAGTTAACCATTATGCAAAACCCAGCTTCTAAAATTGTCTGGTTTCCTACACCACTAGAGGTCAGCAGGCCCTCACTAAAGCTCCCTGCTTGTGGTGTTTTAACTGTACGTACGTAGTCACAATCACGTTGAAATCAACGACTTTATTGTGAATGTCCAACCTGAGATGTTTCCTATCTTCTTGGGATCCTAAAGAAGGATAAATCATAAATGATTACAACTAAATATATTTATATACGTTAACTGTTATATGTAACAAAAACACTGCAGAGAAATCACTCATCAATAAATCTGTGTACTTCAACAACTGTCTTAAAACAACACTGCCATGAGCAATTAATCTTTTCTTACACTGGCCATGCAAGCAACTGCATTACTGGATTCACTTCTTAACTAGATTCCTCACCATAGTAAAAGAGGACATTCAGTTCAGGACACCACAGATGAACTTCTCTTATCCAGTTATCTGTAAGACAACATTAAAACAAAACCCAAGTAATTTATAATTTATTATGTCTTGCTGTTTCACACCTCAGCATCAACCCAAACATCTGATTTTAATGCCAATCCCTTTAAATTCTCCTAAAGGTTAAGAGACATTCTCCCTTAAAACTGGAAAACTGCTAAGTAAGAAACTGAATCTGCTAAGTAAGAAGCTGAATCAACCCCAACTGGGCTTTAGTAGCTCAACCAGCTTGCACTTTAAACTCCTGCAGGAACAGGCCCTGCACGGTCTGTAACCACTGTGTGAAATAAATACAATGTGTAACTTTGCAGCTCGGTTTCTTCCCTAGACAGTTAAATCCCCAGAAAGCAAATCTCCTAATCTGTCAGTACTTGCCTGCAGAAGTATGTCACCAGGAGAGACAGTGCCTCTGGGAGCAGGCAGAGGCCTGACATCCCTGCTGTGCAGCTCCAGGTGTGCAGCAGCACAGCAGCCCCAGGCAGCACTGCTGTGCCCAAGGGGAAGCTGCCTGACAGCCAGCACAAGTGCTGACCCCAAACCCCAGCAGAAGGGGGATTCTGCTAAATAACACTTGGGAAGGGGAGGGACCCAGCTCAGGGGTGAGAAGACACCTCTGGAATAGTGTCAGGAAAACTCCAGGAGACTGCAATGCCCAGGCATTTCCAACCTGTCTCTACAACTGGAACTCAGACTGACTTTACAAAAGCACTACTACGCACACCTCAGGTTTTAAGTGATATATGCATTATTAAGAGCTGTTTTTAAAAGCAGATTCCAGTGGAGTTTGAAAGCACACTAAAAATGAGGATTTCAAACTTAAGCTGTACAACTGGAGACTTTTCTGATACATCAAGAGAAATTTTTGAAGCCCAAGTAAGTATTTTATATTAAAGCAGCATTTACTTTCTAAATACAACTTGTTACTTCCCTCATCATTCAATAAATCCAAATTTAATTCCATCAAGAACCATTTTCTGCTCAACCTCATCCACTTTGCTAACATTTAATTCTACCATACTCTCTCCAATTTCAACTGAGGCCATAAAACCACCAGAACACACAAGACAGCTTCATCATTTCAGGATTTGCATCTGCTTTGACAGATGCTGTGCAGTAAAGACTAAAAAAAAACAGTGAATATTTAAAATGTCATGAAACCTAACCCTAAGCACAGCCTGAAGACTAACAAGTTCAGCCAATATTCAATAAGTAAAAAGACTACTTTGCTACACAAGTTCAGATTGTAACAAGCAGCTTCATTTTTTTTGAAGCAGACAGATTGTCTAAAAAAGTTCCATGCTAAATCTAATTAATTCAGAACAAGCATGCCTGCAGTATGGTCTGCATTCCAATTCAAATTACTTAAGGAGCTGGGTACCATCATAAGAAAATACAATTTTCTTTCATTAAATTAGCTTTGCTTTACAATATGTCCATGATTGGTTTGGTTCTTTTTCCCCTAACAAAACTATTTTTGAAGGTTGTAACTTACCTAACGTTGAAGCTGGCACAACTATCAAATGGGGACCTTTATTGCCCTCTTGGTAAAGATAAGCCAGGAATGCAATAGCTTGAATTGTTTTTCCTAAGCCCTAAGAGAAAATAAAACCATTTAAACAAAATTTACAATCTGCGTGACATAAAATTGTTTTGAACTCATACAACAATTACAGTGTAGTGATGGCCCAGTAAAGATGAGAAATCTGATTAGAAAATTTGTTCTGACTAAACAATTTTATAGAAGACAATTCCTTCTTAAGCACAACCTCAATCAAACTTCTTCATAATTTCTGCTCAATATTTGAACAAAGATTGATCTTTTCAATTAATGAAGTCTTTCATCTTATTTCAAGTTCATCCCTCAAATTACCTCCAAAAACTTACATTCCTGAGCCAATGGTGCAGAAAAATGATTATTGGGAAACTAAATGCTAATTTCCATTTGAGCCACTTGTACAACTGGCTATTCCAGCTACTTCTGAAGTGGAATTTAATATTAATTAATATCAATTAATCAGATTAAAGATAAGCCTATATTTTCACCAACATTCACTTTTCCTGTTTTCTGCATCATGAATTAAAAAATTTTGTGTATTTACCACAAAACCCCCATATTTTTACTAATATGAAACATAGAGAAGTTGAGAAACACTGCCTAAATAACAGCAAGGCAAAGCAGTGCTTTCATTCATGGTTCATCAGAAGAGAAACAACAGCCAGGATTAAAAACAACAGACCACAAATTCAGCAGCTGCATCAGTAAGTTTTTTCCTTTGTACAACTACGGGTGGTGTCAGCATTTAACAAAACCTCAAACCCATAAGCTTGTGTCTCTTAGTTGAACGTTGATGAGGAGTGCCATGACAAGAGATGGTGAAAATGCTGTTTCTGGAGAAGAAGAGAAGGTTTCTACCCACTTGGTTTTCCTGTATTGTTATCTGCCTGTTTTGAAACTGGTGAAGAAAATAGGGGGGTCACTATACTAAATGCTGTAGAATTAATTATATTTTTGGGCAAGGAGATGTTAAACTCAATGGTTTGAAAATAAGCTGTTGTGGTAGAAACTGGTTCCATTGCACCAGAAGACACTATGTGATTTGTAAGTGTCCATCAATCTTAGGCTACCTTTGATTTCCAAATGGAAAGGAGCTCAGCAGCTTCTAAGATCTTGGAGAACTGTTTGCAATTCAGGATTACTTATAATCTCCTGGAGGTTTCTAGGATTTTTTTTTTAAGGATTTTTTTTAATTTTTAAGGATTTAACAAAGTCTTTTTTGCAAAATTTTAACAATTCTTAAATAAGCAGTTTCACACTTACCATTTCATCAGCCAAGATGCCATTCAATCTGTGCTTATACAGCAGTGCTAACCAGTTCAAACCAATCTTCTGATATGGCTTCAGCTCCAAACTGTTAAAAACAAGCAAGCTTATTACCACCTTTTACTTGTTTCTCCTTGAAACACAACTTTACACTTATGGTAATCACAGACTGGCAGACTTAACACTGCCTTTATTTTAATGCACTCCTGACCTCTTTCTGTAGTGAAAAACAAACTTTCTTAATCAGTCACCTGTACACAACTGAGTTGCTTATCTCCATTTTTACAGACCTTAAATGATCAAAGTGAATGACACAAGAAATACTTCTCTTCTACAATCAGTGACACACAACCAGATAAAACCAGTTACAGAAAGACTCATTTCTAAAATACACAATTAAGTGGCATTTTGCAGCTGCAGCCCTAATTTTGCTCTGTTGTACAATTACTATTTGTGTCAGCACCAAAGAAAAACCCAAACACGCTCAACAGCAAGTCACTCAGTTCAGCACTTTTTCCAAAGAAGAAGCATCAGTGACATCCTTCCTCCTTCCTCCCAGGCTTTATTTTCACACAGCTGAGAAGCTTCTGCTTCTGCAACAGCATCCAACTGGAATTCAAGCTGCTACTTTAGCCTTTCCCACTACACACCTACATTTCCTAGCCCTTAGAATAATACCCTCCACCATATCCATATCCATTTACATTCCTCCTAATATCCATTTGGAGATCCTTACTGATTTACCTCTCTGAAATAAATCCTTCCCCACAACACACCCCAGCTGCCACTCTGATTGGATACAGAGTTCCAGACTGGTATACCCGCACTTCCTGACCAATGTCTTTCATTCAGCTGATAAACCTGCCCAGTTTGCTCAGATTTGTTCCAACTAAGCATTTTTGAAATCAAATCCTATTTGAAATCTGTCCCCCATTACAGACACAGGTTTGCTTGGGTTTTTTATTTGAAATAAGTTGACAACTCATGATTCCATTGCTTAAGGTTAGCTGTTACATTCACTTGAAACTGGAGGAAATAAAACACCGTTACAATTTTTAATGCTCTTTTCCTGTCCTCCAGCTTTCCTGATACACTTAAAAAACATGTTAGATTCTCTCACTGAAGGCTACTAAGTATCAAAAATCTGCAACTCTACTTTTAGAGACCACAGTTCTGAAAATTTCAGTCTTCAAGAACACCTTATTGTCCAACACCCTTCTAAAGGACAAAAATGAGACATACCTGCGATTCAGAATGGAGGGCTGCTCTATGTTCCATCCACATCCTCCATCTCTAGTAATCCTGGTTACCTGTTTTGTCAGCTTATTGGAAATGTCTTCACATTTATTCATGAGCTTTAGAACCACATCCCTCTCCTTCAGCAGTATCTTGCAGTTCCACACAATATCCTCTGACAAACCAGCAGTCTTCGTCATTTTTGTAAACTGCAAAATAATAATAATTAAAAATCTATGATCAGTGGTAACAGCAATTGCAGTGAAAATCCACAGCTGCTGCAGGCAATAATTCAAGTAGTAGGCAGCAACAGCATCCTCATCTTCTCTCAAAATTCGATATACTCCTTACATTTGGCCCACTGCAAACTCCGTGAATCCATACTGAAGGTCATCATCGAAGCTCCTCACATTATGAAGCTTGAAATCTTAAGTGATAAAAATTCTCTGAAGAGTTACTAACATAAAATACAATTTAAACTCAAAATCCTCAACAGGAGGCAACACAGTGCAAAGGCCAGTTTTGAAGGCCAGGCACCTTAACAGAACAAAACCCCAAAAGGAAGAAAAAAAAAGAACTGATTCTCATTAAGATGTCCTTTCAAACAGACCCTATTAGACACTACAGGCAGAAGATGGAAGCATAATGCAGGCATCAAGGCAAACAAATGAATCTATAATGAAGGTTGTTACATTTGGTTATGGGTCTGTCTGGGGCTCAGCATTACTTGGTTCCAGTTCTAACTCTACCACAAAGGTAGACAAAGGGACATAGGCATTGTGCAGGTATTTTGTGGTCACCAAGCAGTGCCAGTACAAAGCAGCCTTACTTCCACCACTTGCTTCCTCAAGTCCACACTATAAATACACAGTATTTCCTTCCTCTACATTTCAGATCTTCATCACAGTATGAATATTTTACGTGTCAGAGACAAGCAGCCTCAAGTTGTATCAAAGCAGGCCCCTCAGGCCCATCGATTCCTCCTAAATTCCATGTAGAGCCACCTGCAGAAAATGTAAAACCTACCACTAAAAATATTTCTGCAGTAACTGGGGTCATATTTGTAATTATGATATTTTCTCAAGCAGTTATGCATATTTCACTGTAAAGAACAGGCTTTTTTTTTTTTTAATAATGTATTTAAAGAATTGAAGAATACAAGTTGCTTTGGATTCACCATTCTTGTATTAAAACAGAAGTAGCTTTCACACAGATTGTTCTGAATTTTAGACCAGGCATCTGTTAAAATTTAGCGCAAGACTTCATATGTACATATTCTCCAAGAATTCCTTCTATAAAAAAGGAGTCATATGATCCAGCTATTATGTGTTAAGTAGCTCACCAATACTGTCACATTGCAGAGTAAAAGCAAGTTTTGTTAAGGTGAAGACTACGACCAGATTACAAACAGAATTTAAAAAACAGCTTTCATTATAAACATATTTAAAAAATAACCAGAGTGAGGCAATTACAGTCCAGGGGTATGTTTTTGTTTGTGTTTTTTTAAATTTTAAACAAACTCCAGAAAGTATACGAACACTCCTAGGTTAGACCAGGCTAAGATACACATTTCAATACCTGTAAAGAAATTTTCTAAATAGACACCTCTATTTAGGAAAAAAAAAAAAAAAACCACCCCACAGTTTTTAATAGATGCCTACAAAATTTCAACATTTGTTTTGATGACTAAAGCTTTGGTTGGCATGAATAGAAATCCTGTAATCCATAAATAAAGGTGTGGAGAATTGAGCCATCTGTTATTAACAGAAATTGTATTGTTTCATGTCAGCACATTAACATCCACGTCCAAGTTGCAACAAGAAATACTTTAGCCACTGGTTTGCATGTGAAACACAGGGTGTTACCCTGCTCAAAATACTGATCCCACAGGTGGCCTTTGCTTTCTAGAGGTTCTGATACCCTCCCGAGTTCAGCTTTTCTCAAATGAGGCTCAAAAATGTGAGGCCATCATGGAAACTGAAGCCATGAGCTTTCCCAGCACACCTGGAATTGCCACACCAGCACACTCTGCCTGAGCTTACTCCGCCAGCAACATGATGAAGGCTTTCCCTTTAATGCCTAAGGGTGAAAGTCAGCCTCAATCAACAAACACCACTTCCACTGTAAGCAGTTAATCTGATGCATTTGCTGCTCCCCTTCAGCTGGCTTTGGTGCAGTGGCTCTGGAGTTGGGTTTTTGGGGCAGTTTGTACATATGCAGCCAAACAAAATGGGATGACAAAGGTGGAGCTACTCTCCCTTGAGTCTGTACCTCCTAGCTCATATACTGCTAGAATAGGACGTACAAGTACAGCAACCTCTGACAGAATACAGAATAGGATGGACAAGTACAGCATCCTCTGACAGCTCAGCTCTCCCATTCCCCTCAAAGTGATGCACTGTGTCAGCATTTCAATGTAACACTTTCCACTACATTTCCAGAACACGCACTTTAACTTGTGTGTACTCTCTAAGAATTTCTGTAGACCACAAAGTCTTTAAATGCTAAGTAAAACAGCTTATTTTGTGATAGAATAATTCTGTGAATGACAAAAATGAGAGGATATAGCAAGTCTTACACTGATACATATGTTTTTACACTAAAAGGAAATCCAATCAGGTAACAGTTATACACCTTCAAAAAAGAGAAAGAGGACAGCATTAAACCCTCTCCAGTTCCTCTCCCACATTTACCAGAAGAAGCAGAAAACTGCAAGACCACCAACCCAGACCCCGAAACCTCAGCTGAGTTCCTCTGGGAGCCAGTCTAGGCTCTGCTTTTTTTTCTTGGCATGTAGTGAAGGCAGGCAATCCCACAGTTGGGAAATGAGAATATATTAAAATATATTAAGCACCAACAAGTTGTATAAAGGAGTTCTGATGAGGAGGAAGGGCAACTGGAGCCCAGAAGTGCTTCCATCAAGGAAAGAACCATTCTGTCTGCTGGCCCACAATGTGTGCCAGTGGAGTATCATCGGGGTCCCAAAGGCAACAGCAGAGAGAGGGGAGAAGCCAACACAGGAGACTGAGAGGAGACCTCACTGCAGTTACAACTTCCTCACAAGGGGAACCAGTAATGGAATCACAGATCTTTTCTCTGTGGTGACAGGGACAGGACCTGAGGAAACGGCCTGAATCTGTGGCAGGGAAAGTTGATGTTGGATATTAGGAAAAGATTCCAGGATTCCTCCTGGAAAATGTGCTTGACCTACAGTGTAGGCATTTCTAAACTGCCAAATGAATTATTCTTTGTAAGCAAAGACAATTTCAGCTCTCTCCCATTATTTTGAGAACCATGTCTCCTAAGTTTTTTATATGTGTTTTAAGCATTACTAGATCAAGTTAAACACTTGAAATATCTACTCCAAAGACTAAGTATTTCCAAGTGCTCTTATTAATCTTATGAGCTTATGAAATTAATTCAAATCCTCTTGAAACAAAATAGCTTAGTTCAACTTAAAAAAAAACCCCACATCTAGAATAAGGAAAGACATTCTCATTTATGTTTTCCTGGAATAAAACATTCAATTTACAAATAAGTAGGCTTTATTTTTAATCTCAGACTGAGAGTCTTAATATCCTCCTCAGTTCTAGTAATGAACAAGTGGTAACAACTTGTAGTACTTCACATTGTGTTATACAAGATACCATTACAATAAAAAGAGACTTAAAACCAAGCCAATTTCTTTAATGCTCTAACTGAATCAGCTCTCCCCATTATTCTAACCACCCTTATTAATTGGTAGGGAAAACACTGGGTTACTGAGCTACTGGATCTTTATAAACAATTAAATCCACACTGATACAAAACATCTGCTGAAATCTCCTGCAAACCACTTCTACTCTGGGCAAGTATTCACAATACTACATAAACATGTGGCTGCTGACAGTAGCAATCTTCATGAAAGACAAAGTCTGAATGCAAACAGGCCCATGCAGTGTTTTTTTACTGTAAAATATTTAACACAGAAAAGGAGAAGAGCCTGTAGCAAATACTTGTGCAAAGAATTAAGCTCAGACAAAATCCAACAAGTTTAGAAAGTAATAGCTGTATGACAGATGTTCTGTGAGAAGCCAAAGGCTTGGGGCAAAACGGATTTCTTTTGCAGCATACCAGTAACTCATTTTTTTCACATATCGTCCTTTTGTCTCCCCCCTTCCCTCACAACACAACACACAAAGATCACTTTGTTTTCCTTAAAATTCTGTTTAGTATCTCTTATTCTTTCATGGTAATATATTTCACACACTGAATAATAAATGTTATTGTTTTACACATATTGAAAAAGTTCTTGCATACATCAGCGGGGGGGCTCAGAATGCACACTGATGAAAAACATCAATTACTCTGTAAAAAGGCCTGTGCACAGTTACTGCTTTAAAATCCAAAGTACCAATAAATTAAATCAAGACAATCTGCTGTAACAGATTGTAAGACTTCAAATTTCTTACCGGGACACTGCTCTTAGCAGGTCTGAGGTCTAGCAGTTAACTGAAACTGTATGAAATGTGAACTCTACAAACAAGCCATGGTAAACATCTGAAAGTAACAACAGAGCAACAGCAGATAATGTACTTACCAGCAGATACTGTTTTCCCTTCCGTGGTGGATTGTGGCTTAACCTACTGACGCTTTACCTTTCATAATTAAAACACAGCAGCTCATTCCACTGAAAATGGCTGCATTGCTTAGCTAGCAAAACCATGCTAGACACTAAGCTGCAGTAGAATAAAGGCACAAAAGAAAAAAAAAAAAAAGAACGACCATTTCTTGCCTAAAATTGAAAATATCCATGCTGGCTTCTTCAATCATGGAGCTACCCTGGAAGCTGCTGTTGCTGCTGCACAAGTGTCTGCAGTAAAGGTCCTGCCACATTCTTCCCTCCTGCATGGGTTTTCAGCTGCAAGAGCTCAGAACAGGCTAGCAAACACCTCCTTCTCAAGTGAAAGCTCTAATTTCCCCTTCTGCAGTGAAATCAACCAACTTTCTGTGCTACAGAGTGAGTGACAGTAATGTCAGCCAATCAGCTTGAGTTTTCCAGAAAAATCAACCCTTAATTCATTCAAAATCAGGTCATATGACACTATTTGAAATGCTATTGGCTTAGGAGGAACATAGCATTTCAGCCTAATGAGGATAAGGCCACCCATCTAAGCCTCCCTAGGCTGAAGCCACCTTGACTCTAGGCAGGCTGGGGATAGGAAAGGAAGAATGCAGACCTACCAGAGCCTCCCAGCTGTTAAAGGGCCGGAGCGCTATTATCTTCTGAGCCTTTTTCTGAGAACACTGGGGAATCAGAGTCAGTTCACTCAGGGAAGCATCCTGCAGGAAGCTGAGGATTTTGGCTTTGTAGCCATCCTCCATCACTTCATCGCCGCTGCTGTAGTCCTCATCCAGGGAGCTTCCGCCATCTTCAGAAGCGGACTCATCCTCCGTGTGCTCTGCTTCTCTCTCAGCACTCCAAATGCTCCTTTTGCCCTTGTCCTTTTTCTGAAAGCCATTCTGCTCTTTCTCAGAAGCCTTCTGCTTCATCTTATCTTTACTCTCCTCACTCTGGGTTTTAGTGGAGGCTTTGGTCCAGTCAGCGACTTTCCTTTTGGGAGGAAATTCCACACCTATGCATGCAACACAGAAGGCAACAAGTCAATGCATACTGGTATGGGGCTGATGAAAACACAAGTTGTTCTTCCAAAATAAAACCTACAGATGTGTAAAACACAGTTCTAGCATTTAATACACAAGAACTCAACGCAGGTGATCCTAAGAGAACAGAAAAGCAAATCTGTATAAAATATACAAATAGCTCTAACTGTGAGTACAAGGTAAGTAAAGCTCATTTGTAGAATGGTCAAATAGCAGAAGGTCTTAAGTAGTTTAAAATACAGATGATCAACATAATGTAATATTTGTGAGGTGCAGCAGCTCTGATTCAGAGCAAACAGTTAAGAACTCTGATGTATTCTTAAGATGAGATACTGGTCACACTGCACCTGACTGCAGAGATATTAATTCTGCTGACTTGAGAAAACAAGCTTTCTTTCACCAAGAAAATGACACATGCTTTCCATTTTAATGCATTCTAGTACAGTATTTGGGGTAGGACAATGAAAACATGCTAAAAAACCTCAAATAATGAGATATCTCCAACCAAAGTAACTCAGCTGCCTTAAAATAAGACAGAAGGTATTTATCTGAACACAAGAAAGTAATTTTCAGAAGCGCCTTGTAAGGGTTTTGATTCCTTCACTGCAAGAGAACGCTTGCAGCACAGAAGTTTCTCTTCTCTCCAATCCCAGCTTGCTGCTGACTCCAACCCTGACATCTGCCTCCTCAGAGGCAGCAGCAAGGACACAACTTCCTGAGCACTCTCCACTAAAGAATCCAGTTAAGAACACTACCCTGTCCCAAGAACACTTAAATAGCTGATACAGCAAAACATGTACATATCTGACAGCTGCGTAACACATTGAAAAGTAATCAACTCATTAAATAGGACTTAAGTTATAACTTGCAGATTTACTTGCAATCACTGGGTTTGCTCCCTACCACATTTAAAATAGTGGGATTTACAGATGGGTTGCATAATTTAAGGCCTGCTTCTAGGATGTTCCTCTCCTAGAATACATTTTAAAATTGACAAAATAGCATATATTACTTGTTACCTATGCAGTTATTTGCAATTACAGGTTTGGAAACCAGTAATTTACAAATCGTGTAGTTAAAAAACAAAGCTTTTTTTAAACAAGTAGGAAGGGAGCAGGTTATCAGCTTTGACATGTACCAAAATATATTTTAAAAGATACCCATAGGTAATTACAACTTTTCATACCTATCTGTATTAGCAGGGCAAACATATTTATCCCTAGTTAGAGAGCAAAAATAAAAATACAGAAAAATTGAGCCTCCTTTTATCCTCCCTGTAACAATGATTTCAAGTATAGGTGCAAGTTTCTAGGCATGGTGTCAGGACTGTCACTGCTGAACATTGAAAAATATTTGCATCACAAGTCTGTTTCATGTTTGGATAAAATGAATTATAAATCTGTCTTTACCCTCCTCGTCGTCTGCAAATATTTTCAGGGCCTCCAGTGCATCATGAAACACCCAGTTATGTTCCTCAAGTACCTCTCTCAGCTCCTAGTAAAAAATAAGACATTTTGCATTGTGGTGAGATAAGCACAAGCTGAATTTCTGTGCCTAGTAACATCAGGCAAGGAAAACCCTTGTAAATCAGATGATTCAAAATAAAAGGAAATCCAAGTGAGAAAACCCTTCAGCTTCTTTGTACACTCAGTTTAGGCAGAGCTGCACTCCACTTTTCAAAAGTGTAAGAACCCACATGAACAAGCTTGGCTTCCAACAATTTCAAGCACAGTACAGAAAGGGCTCAAATAGTTGCTGAGGACCATCAGGTACTGAAGTAATACAAAGTGCTAAATATATTTAGCAGTCTGGGGGAGAAGAAGGAGAGAGGGAGGGATCATTTCCTCTTGCATTTTTACAGTAAGTCATCAAATTTGACTATGCTAGCCCTGTCATAGGGCCAGAAATGTAGGAAGAGAAGGTCCCTGTAGTCCTAACTACATCCCATAGCTCTCACCTCAGGACAAGTTATATTGTAAAAGCAGGAACAGTAAAAACCTTCCTATCCTGGGCTCTTCCTGGAAGCGTTGTTGTAAAAGAACTGTTTCATATGCACTATCAACAGCTGCAGTTTTCTTAAGAACTCAAAACTTGATGTGCTATAGGGAGACATCAGCTCACCTCCTTATCCAATCCAGGGAATGTACTTTGCAACTTCTTCACAAGCATCTCTTGCCTCTCCCATTGTCTTTTGGGTTCTGAGTCATCCAGCTACATTAAAAAAGGTACCTATTAGGTTTAATATTAATTACAACTACAGAAACAGAAGAAAACCTCATCAGCATTGTTTATCCTTAAAGAGCTACTCTAAATGACAAAAGCACTTTAGACAAACTCAAGCTTAAGTGATTCCTAGTCAACAGTCAATTATCAAAGACCAAAACTTTCACGAACATAGAAAATGTCTTCAGTCATGAAAAACTGGGACTTTTTACTTGATAAGCACACACAGCGCAAAATCATGTACCAAAACATAAATAATATACAACTGTCAAGTTTATTTTGTTTAAAATCAAAAGTTCTTAGCAATTCTGGATGATACTTAAGGCAGAAGATGTCAGGGTTGGTGATCAGATTAGCTTACTAAGCATGTGGTGTTTATCCCACCACAGCCTACAAACACGTCAAATGGTGTGTTTATATTAAGACTTATGGGTAAAAAATTCCACAAATATTATGTGGAGTCAGCATCGTGGAGTCACATCAAAAACTGGTAAAACTTTTCATCAACAATAGCTTCACTAACAGCTACTACCAGCCTGCAAAATGGAAGTTAACAAGTGCCAAAACTTCCACGGGCCACAAACTGCTCTGCTTTGTATTCACCACAAAGAACTACATCAGTTCCTTCCTGGAGCTCTGAATGCAAAGTGGTTACAGAGCTACTTGTCCGCAGCAGATACCAACACTTACTTGGCTGACGGAGCACAAACCACATCACCCAGAGGCACTCTGAATAACAGAGGACATTATTCCTTTCCTCAGTGAGTGTTAGTGTCACTAAGAGAGCAGCTACAGTCCACAGAAGAGCTGCCCAAGTACATTCTGGTCTTAGGAACCACAAGGAAAAGCAAAACTAAGAAAAAAACCATGCAAGTTCTCACTGCAGTTCCCTAGAATGAGTTCCAAAAATCCATATTCTGCATTTGGTTTTTTCTAAACCTTCCCTCTTTAATTGTAATGAAACTATTAAGAACAAAAATCAAGTTGATATATAAAACCAGGTCCAGTGGAGCACTGTTTGCTAGGCTGGCTGGTTAATAACTAACTGAAGCCTCCTTTCATATCCAAACCCAGGGGATTGGTGAGGAGGAACAAACTCAGTTCACATCTCTCTTTCAGGAAGAAGAAGTTACAAATGAGTTGTAGTATTTTTGCTTTTATAGAAAACCATGTTTTCTTTAATTGGTTCTGTCTGAGGACAATAGTAGCTTAAATTTCAACAGTCATCCTCCTTCATCCAGCCTCCAGTATTTATGTATAATTCTCTTTTTCTATGTAAGTGGCTTTCAAGGATGTCTCCTGGGATGCCTGGGAGATGGCCTCATGGCAGCACTGCAGGACTCTGCAAAGCTGCCAAATACCATCCTGAATGCACCAGGATCATGACATAGCTCCCATTTAGTAGCAGAGGTCAAAGCAGTCATTCCTTTAAATACAACCAATTCATTATTTTTAAAGATTTCCCCAAGTCATAGTTTCAAATATATAAGCAACATCTATATCAAAGAATAGCAATAGATATAGCAAAATATGTTAACTTCATGTGCTTGAAGAAATACAAGGAATGACCCAAGGAGGAAAAGTGATCCAGAGTTGTAATTCCCACCGCTGCTCACAAAAACTGAATAGTGCTCAGAGCCTCCCACACTGCTACCTGCCATCAACTACTTGCACCAAAAGCAGTGAACTGGCTGGTGTGATACAAAGCCACAAGCACTAAAGAACAAAGTAGGTCATTCCATTCAGAATGGATGGAACAACAAAAGAAATACAAAATTCCCATCCAGATGGGAAGATATAATTTGACTTAATTTTCTGATAAAACACACCACTGCCACTGACCAAGTCAGGTAATTTCATTTATTTTACAATGCACAAAGAGAAAAGCACAATACTTACATAACTGACTTTTGACTTTTTTGCAACTCGCTCATTTTCCGTTTTGCAATTTGTGGGAGAATCTCTTTGTTTCCTTTTACCAGAAGCAGCTTCAAAAAGAATTGAGATGAAAAATAAAAGAATTAGTTCCTTTCCTTAAGTTCACTCCAAACCAGCAGGATATTTTACTTACTACAACAATGCAGTAGCTACTTGTTATCTGCACAATGTTTAGCAGTCTCTATAAGTTTCTACTACAAAGCACAGATACATTGAAACCTGAAGCAAAGCAGCAGCTTGAAGGTACATGTTTATTTACCTCTAAGTTATCTTCAGCTGTCTGGCAATTAATTAATCAAGTAATTACCTCTCATATACAACAACTGGAATAGCATTTTATTCTTCTTTTTTTAATAGTTACCACATGTTATTACACACAAGTTGCATAAAGGTGTATCTGTGTCTGGTTTTATTCAAGCTGGTATTTCTTCCAGGCTGAAGCCCATCTGTGTGCTGGAATATGTACTTCACTGCCAATCTGGAATCACTGGTGACTGATTTCTGGCTCAGGTGCACACCAGAGCAGTTACCAAATGCTTTTCAACATTAAATCTAGACATCTCAAAGAAAACTATGCATATTAAGTCAGTGATAACCTTATCACTTACAAACACTCCATATGAGCCATAACTTTCTGGCTGTCTTTGGGCCCTGGTGATTATCAAGAGATTATCATCTCAGCATTAAGGCCTGCCCAGCCAGGTGCACTTCCAGACTGCTGCTGTGCATGGCTCATGAAGGCCAGAAGACATTACCAGTATTTCTGCACACCAGCTTGGCTTGAAGCAGCAATACCAGAACAAATTATTGTGAAAATTCCTAGTCCATAATCTGAAATATTACTGGAAGTTAAATCTTCTCTGGAACAGCAAATGCCTGCAGAGCTTTGGTGTCTGATACCAGCATCTCCCTCCCAGCCTGCCCTGGGAGACCAGTGAAAAAGAACACCCACACACTCACAAAAAGCACATTTGCTTTCCCATCCAGAAGCCTGTCTGGATGATCAAAATAGTTTTAACTCTACAACATTATGTAGCCAAATCTTCATACAAGAAGACACTTTGTGTGGAAATACTTCCAAATAAATTTTCTACTATAGTCATTCACTCTGACATCAGAGAAGTGGCATAAAAATATTGAAAAAAAATATTAAAACACCCCCAAAAAAAGCAAAGTACTAGCAACTCTTCCTTAAAGTAAGGATCTAGTAAGAGATACCAGAAAACACTGTTAAGATTTTTTTCAACGTCTATGTATTTATATATATTTAGATAAAAATATCATAGAATCATATGTTTGGGTTGGAAGGGACACTAAAGATCACTTAGTTCCACACCTCTGCTCCAGTCAGGGACACCTTCCACCAGATCAGGTTGCTCAGACCCCCATCCAACCTGGCCTTGAACACTTCCAAAAATGAGGCATAATTTAAATAACTTAAACAATACTGCCAGGAAAATGCCTGCTACTAGCTGAAGTCTGAGGAATGGGTGGTTGTCTTGATATACAAACCAGGAGCTGTGAGGCTGCTGCTGGGCCAAGCACTGGAGGCCTTGTGCTATTATTTCTTAAGCTCAATTCAGGATGGATAATTCTGAATGTGAACAGTGACCCTGCAAACCTCTTTGCCCTAAAAAAATAGATAGGCTGGATATAAGAATATTTCAAAGATTTTCCTGGTTTTGGGACATGGTCTGTGCACTCCATAGCCTTTGAAGAAAGCCCCATTATGAGCAACTTTAGAGGCAATTGAATTGAAACAAAGGATCTGGAAAACCATGGTCTCAGGAATCTATACACAGAATTATTTAAAAATCAACCTGTGGTCTTTGGAAACCCACCACATTTGCAAATGACAAAAAACCAGCCAACTTTCTGAAGACATCCACTTTGCAAAGTAACATTTTCTTCCTTTGCTAAGGGAGTGCATGGTTGAAGGGATAAAGAAACTCTTACAGATAGGAATCGTCCTCAGAGTGCAGGCACAGCCTTCCAGAGGAATCCTTGCTCTCCCCATAAATTTTGCAACTAATGAGCAATGAAAAAAGCAGCTCCAAGGTCTCAGACTTTAGAGGAGCATCTGTCATTATTTCCCCTGTTACTTGCTACTACCTCTAACAAAAAAAAAAAACCAAAACCTTATTACTGTGACTTCCCTCATCATGATAAAAGAAAACTGTAATTTCTGATTGCTCAAAAAGCAGAGAATTCCAAACAGATTTACATCAGGCTTCAGCTCAGAAGCACATCCCCCACTTCTGAGGTTTTCAAGAAAACAACACCAGAAACAAATCACAAGCAAAAGGTTTTACTATAAGTTCACATCTTAGACACATCTTTTCAATGTGTCACATCTAATCTTCATACCTTTATAAAATCTGCACTGTTTCTTGTTTTAGCTCTACACCACTATTGAATTCAAGCTATAAAGACAAGCTTTTTGTCATTTTGACAGGACAGAAAAATTCAAGGATATCATGGCTCCACTTTCTTCACAAAGCCATGCTTAGCAAAACTGTATCTTGCCTTGACCTCTCACACAGCCAACATTTCACAACAAGTAAAGCATATCTGAAATTGACACAGTTAAAGCAGATGTTCAGTAATGTCTCCATATTTAAAAAATGTGTCCAAAATGAGGTGATTTATACCATCACTGTCAGGCATGCTTACTACTAACTAAATATTTTATACAACAGCTGTGATTAGTGAGAATTTTGCTGCCAAGAAGATTTTTCTGTGGCTCATATTTAAAAGATGTGAAACAACATTCTTAAATCAACACAAAAATGGCCAAAAGGCAGAGCCCACATACCAGAAATCAAAGTGATTTAGTTCAAACACTGTGAACTGCAACAAAGTTTAAGGATAGATAGTAGCTTAAATTGGCTTAATATTTATGAAAACCCTTGAAAAATAATCAGTCTTCCAGGAACAGCAGCACTAAGTGTATTTCTCAAAACATGCCAGCCTTGCTTCCCATTGCCAGTATCCAAGAATTTCCATCTACAGAATCTGACCATGCACACAGTGATAAATTCAAAGTGGTTTGGTGGTTGGTCAAAAAAAACCTATCAAACAACCCAAAACACAAAAGCATCCCTTTCACTCAAAGCAGCCTGGATGTTCTTACAACTTTTTGGAAATTGCTAGAAATCTTTGCACTTTTATATGAAAATAAGAAAATTAAAATACAGTAAGTACAAAGGGGAAATTAAATAAAAATTCTGTACTCTACAATCAGGAGTACAACAGTTCTCCCTCAGCCTATGCTTTCTCCTATACATATTGCTCCAAACCAACCCATAGGTTCCTGCATGAAAAGATACATGAACTACTCAAAACAACTAAATCATCAAGAGTGATCAGAAATAGCTTTTTCCATCATTTCAATGAAGATCCCTCAGGAAAACCTTGGACAGCTCAACTGTAAACAGATGGTTGATCTGCTTTCTATAATATCAGAATTCCACTCTTCCCTGACCAACTCCAACAAATCAAAAATACAAGACAAGACTTAACCCTGGACTTGGGTGATGTGAAGAAACAAACCCGCAGCCCAAGAACTATGACCTTTTAACACATCTAACACTTACAACACAGTCCCATAAAATCTGCTGGGGTTTTTGTCTAGCTTTGTTTCTTTGTTTTGGTAACAGTATGAGACTGCATAAATTGAGGTGCAGAACAGACACCCCTAAATAAGCTCTGAGGGTCCAAAAACTTGGTTTGGGTGATGTTTTACTAGAGAACCAGGGGGATCTGTCTAGTGTTTAAGACTAAGAGTTCCTATTCAGAATTACAAGCAGGTCTTGAAAACAACCAGAAGCAAAAACTGCAACTGACCTTGATATAAACAATATCTACTTATTAGTAACTACATACCCAGTGTATTTTTCTGTACTACCAGACTGCTCACCTAGAACATTTAGAATTACTTCTGCTAACCCTTTACTATTTGCCTCAAGCTCTGGACAAAGGAACCAGCAAGAATAGAATCACTTAAAAACCCACAAGCAAAGCAATCCTGAGCTTCACAGAAAACATTCTCCTTTCTGGTTTTATTTACAGATTTTGCTCCACATTCTCTTTTCATTTTTGTCTCTGCAAAGCTTGTAAATTCAGTTTGGTGTTATTACAATAAACAAACAATGCTCTAACTTTTAGCAGAAGCTTTACCAGTTTTTAAACACTTCCCAACCAACCTCACTGAATTAGCTACTAAAGTTTGGGTTCTAAACTACAGTTTCTAAAGTTTGGGTTTTGTTTTTGTTTTGTGGGGTTTTTTGTTAAACATACCTTTGTCATTGAGCTTCAAACCAGCAGCTACTGCTTCATCCATTGTGCATGCTGATTCTATAAGCTGCAAAACAAAAAACAGGCAACTGCTAAGTGGAGAAATTTAATCTAGTTGAGCAGAGGAAGGCAATGCTGGATCAGCTGTGACTGAAAAACACTATTACACCCCCCCTCCAAATTATATATGTATTATAAAATCCAAGAGCAAAACCAAGAGGTATCAAATGAACATTTTGAATACAATGTCACTTATTATCACTTTCTTCCCTACTTCACAAACATCCTCTGCATATTTACTTAGAAGCTTTTTTGCAAAGACTATTCAATACTACTATCACAAAACAAGATAACAAAACCCTCTGATTTATTAACTCAAAGTGTCTGAAAACTATTGTGATGCACTGGTCCATTTCCTGTAAGTACATGCATGAAATGTATAATGTGTCTCAAGGTTTATCAATACATCCTTGCAGTCCTAGATTGTTTCTCCATCCACATGTAATCTCAACATGGATCTGTTTTACAAAGTGCATGCTGAGACTTTCAGAAGGCTTTCTGCGGGTGAGGTAACAGCAACAAAAGCAAATGGTTTAAATGTTATGAATATGAAAAAAACCCCACAAAAATGAAGTTATGAGGAATCCTGATTCCCAAGTATCAGTCCACATTTGGAAACAGCATCTTACAATTTTGCTACATTGGCACAATTTCCTTTTCAAAAGACTTGTGATTTTTTTCCTTAATAGCATTCATCAGTTGTGCCAAGTTTGTCAGGACAGCCTGCTCCAGATCCTTCATGACAGAACAACAGATTTGCCTGATACTCCTCTGCCCTCCTTAAAAATGTTGCAGCTATGTAACTGCAGAAAAAAAATCTGCACAGTCTCCATTTTCTACAAAGTTCTGCTGACACAGGAGCTATCTTGCATTCTCCTGAAAACAAACATCATCAGCCTCACATGCTGCTCAGTAGCTAAGTCACAAAACAGCAGTGAGACACACCACATAGCATTTCTAGCAAATTACTAAGCTACAATGAACTTTCATCAGTCTTTGAATCAGACAAATTCTATGCAGCCAAAAACTGCAAAAGATACATTCTGGACATGCACAACAGATTTTAATTCCAATGTTCAGGGGAAAAATTCAGAAACTCCTACTTGAAAACCTTTTGCTCTTCCCAAAATAAAGGAAGTCTAAGCATAAAGCTTGATCCACTGGGAAACAAAATACCCAGCAAGGAGCTTCAGTAAAATGTCTGTATTTCTTCAATGCCATGTCAACAACCAGGAAACTTTACAGACTAATTTAAACACCTTTAGCTTCATAAATAAAAGCTAGTGAAAGCCTTGTATGGTACTAAAGACATTTTACTGTAATGAACTACCATATCTCACTTGCAAGGAGTTACCTGTAGATTTGTATTGTACACTGGACAATGGCCAAGAGTTCCCACATCAGCTTAATAAGAATACATTACAGTAAGTTCAAACCTACCCTTTGCCTCACTGGAATACTGAAATCTCTGCATGTTAAATGCCATCAATGTAAGCTTGCACAGTGTTTTATCTACTGTGGAAGATGGCAGTGATTCCACTGCATTTCATCAGCTAGTTCATTCCAACAACAGCAGTTACCAAGTGAGACAGCCATAATTAAGCTTAAACATCACAAGAAATACTTGAAAAATTTTCTATACACTGGAGTTCACTGTTGTTGAACTTACCTAAAGGTGTTTATTTGAAGTGTGTGTCTATATATTCATTTTTACAGATGTCCAAGTTCCCATGCATGTGGAAATGTTACACAGCTGTACCTCCCCTAAAATATTACTTTTACCCTTTTGCTATTAATGAAACAATAAGAGCTGCATGGTGTTTGCATGGCAAGGCTTGACAGCAGCAGGGGCTACACAGGTGGCTCCTGTGAGAAGCCACCAGAAGCTTCTCTCACATCCAAAAGAACCAGTGGCAGTCAGATCCAAGACAGTCCTGCTGCTGGCCAAGGCCAAGCCCATCAGGGGCAGTGGCAGCACCAGTAGATAACAGTTAAGAAGGACAGGGGGTAGGGAAATGGGAAGGATCAACACACCTGCAGCAGGAGATAGGAAGGAAAATTCATGAGAGAGAAATGGCCCTGCAGACACTAAGGTCAGTGAAGGAAGGGCTAGAGGTGCTCTGCTGGAGCAGAGATTCCCTTGCAGCCTGTGGTGATGCCCATGGTGAGGCAGCTGTGTCCCTGCAGCCCATGGAGGCCAAGGTGGAGCAGAGATCCACCTGCAGCCCATGGAGAACAGCACAGCAGAACAGGTGCATGTCCAAAGGAGGCTGTGACTACATGGGAAGCCCCCTGAAAGCAGGATCCCAGCAGGACCCATGGAGAGAAGGGCCCATGCTGGAGCAGTTTGCTGGCACGACTGGTGACCCTGTAGAAGGGACCCTCAAGGGAGCAGCTTGTTCCTGAAGAACTGCACACCATGGAAAGGGATCCAGTCTGGAGCAAGGGAAGGGTGTGATGAGTCCTCCTGCTGAGGAGGGCTGATGAACTGACTGCAGCCCCCATATCCCATTCCCAGGCACCATGGGTGTGAGGGGGAAGGAGGCAGAGAAAATCACAAATACAGTTAAACCCCAAAATAAGGGAGGGATGGGGGGAAGGTGTTTTAAGATTTGCATTCATTTCTCATTACCCTACTCTGATCTGATCAGTAACAAATTAAATCTTTTCCACAAGTTGAGTCTGTTTTGCCCATGACAGTAACTGGTGAGCAATCTCTCCATGTCTTTATCATGATCCATGAGCCTTTCATTCTATTGTCTTCCCTGTCCAGCTGAGAGCAAAGTGACAGAGCAGCTTTAGTGGGTACCTAGCATTCAGACAACATTAACTCACCACAAGACTGTATCCTGTAGTGAAGCCAGAAGCTTAGAAAAACTGCCCATAAAATCCTATAAAATAATCATCAAAATAAATCAAAGAACTTAGCATTATTACTTTTAATAATTCTTGGTCACTTCTTTGGGGAAAACGTTCCTTCATTGTTTGCAGCTTTGAGTCCCTGGTATCCTTCTGTACATGCTCCTTCACAGCTGGCTGCTGCTCCCCACCATTTACAAGTGCCTGCTGGGCCATTTCCTCTTCAGGCCGATCATCATCATCAGATGGTTCAGAGCTACAATGTACAGGGGAAGAAAAAATAATTAAAATTCTTTTTGCTTATGAATGTTTTACTCTACCAGGACATTACTGTAAACTAACCCACCAGGACTGCACAAAATGCACTGAGATGCATTCAGTAACACTGAATCAACTTGTATGCAAAGGGATACCTCTACTCAGGACAAAGTCAGGCATGTATCAAGTACAGCGTCCTCTTCGCACTAAACAATTTCAACTTGGCAAAGGAAATAAGAAGGGAAGAATGGACTAGCAAAATACCATTACTTACCCTCAAATTATCAAAGATTATTGATAATTTAATAACAACCATCTTAATAAAGTTTAGCTACTTGAACAGTTTCAGCTACCTGAATTACATCAGACTACCCAAGTTTATTTTAAACAGCCTTGCTAGTGTTTATTTGCTCAACAGACAAACAGATGTGGATTAGGTTCTTTGTAAACACTTCCCAGGTGCAGTATTAACTCTGTCCTAGCTCTTGGCTCACTGAGAAAGAAAATTCACAGTTCCTCATGCAGCATCTTAAATGCATAAATGTGGCAAGAGCCTTTCTCAAAAAAAGAAGTGTTCTGAATTTACTGAAATATTGATTATTAACGCTAATTTGCATGAAAAGCAACCCCTATGTATATTCCAGGATATTGAGTTGCACAGATAAAACTGAACCCAAGCATGGGTCTCCCATCCTCCTTCCTCCCATAGACAATAAAACCTCCTTCTGGGAAGGCAAAATTAATTGAACCATATGGAGTTTGCCATTTAATAGGGACTTCACCATCAGAAAGGCTTGCCTGCAGGTCTCTCTACATAAATATAGGTAAAAGACTAAAAATAAACCTGGTTTTCCTCACTATATCTTTCTTTAGCAGTTGCAACAGGCAGATTGCATTAGAATTCTGGAAAAAAATTGATATGACACTTACATAAAAGATACACACAGGTAACTGTTCATCAAAGAATTCTTTCCTCCCTTTTCAAAAGGCACACACAGCTACTAGGACTCCCTGGTTGTGCCTCTTAAGAGTAAGGAAGTAACAAGAGAGAATCCAAATTATTCTTCAGTTCACCAAGGCATTGAGTTGTAAGCCTTAAAACATGAATCAGCCTTCCACTTAAAAAAACCACTTAATGAAGTATCATATTAAAATTTACTGGCATTTTTCTGATCTTTTTACCTTGATAAGGAAGGTTTCTTGTAAAAAGTGCATATAAAAAAGAAAAATCAATCCAAATGAAAATGGTGACACTGCAATAATCCTATCCTTTCCTATCAGGGAATAACATCTAGACACTTTTCAACAAAGCCAGAGTTGCATACATCATAAATCTTGTCCTCTGTGTATAATCACATTCTTATCAAGCATAAAGAAACACTCATTTCACTGCTAAGCAAGTCTGACCCAAAAAATCCTTGTGTTAGATTCTGCTTTTTTTTCCAGACAGCAACCCTCTGGCAGCACAAGCCATGGCACATTTTCTTTAGGAAAGATGTGTTTTCTACTCTAAACTTTCTGCTTTCTGTTCTGTGCCTTGTTCAGAATGAGGGAAGCTAGGATACTCTGCAAAAAGGAAGTAAAACCACCAAAAAACCCACAAACTAGGTAACACATGCACTAAAATGCACAATGCAGACAATGAATTGAGTGATTCCATGCAAAGCCAGAATTCAGCATGAGCCAGAGCTCCTAAGCCTGGACAGATCCCAGCCAACTCCTGCGCCACTCTCCATTTGTTTGCTAGCTCGACCAGAACAGCCACTTGTGCCACAGCCCTGTGGGCTCTGTACACATCAATCTGCACCTGAGCCGGCCCCTGAGGGGCCTGGTGGCTACACAGGAATACTGAGGAGCACAAGAGGATGTAGTCTCATGGTCATCAACCCCACCAGGGAGTCACCTTGCTGTCCATCTCTCACTCCCAGCAACAGCAACACAGTACAGGAACAGCAAGCAGTGTCTCTGCAAGCTCCATCCTGCATGGCTTATCAGCATCAGCTCCATATGATACAAAACCCCTTGAGCTGCTTCCAGGTGGGATTGATCCCAGAAGCAGAGTAACTCCATTCACACAGCACTGCACACAAGCCAATTTGATGCATGCAACCAGCTGGCCACCTCTGTCTCCTTGCACAATCTACAACTTAAATCACAGGCAGAAGCAGAAGCTCACTTGTAACTGCTAATACTTTTCTCCTTTTCAAGCAGCTCCCTTAAGTTGAAATTTTGGGGGGCAAACACTAAAAAAAGAAACAAACAGCAAAACATCAGCATTTCAGGTAACAGCAGTACGAAAATACATTATTTTACTTCTGCTGCAAACCCCTAATAACTCCAGGCTCTGTGTAGGACTGAAAACCTGACAAGAAGCAACACCTATTAAGGCTGCAATTCCCACAGAAGTTTTCTGCCCATTAATTCAACTAGACTATCAAAAAAGCAGGTAAAGCCATCTTGTTTTGCTTAGCACAAGAGCATCTAGAGGGCACAATCACCACACAGACATAACTAGCAGGGGTTCCTTTACACTGTTTCAAATGGCTGCAGATGTCTGTCTACATCTTGTCTCACATGCTCTCTCAACACTGTCTTTTTTACACACACAAGCAACTCCTGCACAGTAATTCCTCCCTCCCAGCACATTCAAAATACAAATTTCCAAATCACTTAGGAAAGAAATAATTTTCACTATGCATAGGAAACACAGCATACAACTCATACTTAAATTTACCTCAGGACTCATACAACACACTGAAGCTCTATTTGCTTCCCTGTCAAATATAGCTGCATATACAAAAAAAAAAAAACACCAACAAAACCAAAAACAATTCCAACAGTTGAAAATTAGTAAAGCAAGTTTTATGGTTAAGTTTTCAAGTTGCACTAAAAGGATTTCAGAAGGGCAAAGGCACAAATGTGTAAATGAACAAACATCACACGTTTCAACATCACAGAACTCCTCCCTCTGAGAAAATGTTTTAGCAGGATACCTCTTCCCTGGAAAACCCGTAAAGTTTAGTTAGGGGCAGCTGAATCCCAAAGGAGCAAACAAGAACCCAACCTAAGCTCTGATTTTCACTTCAGGGTTTCAACTGAGAGCAGCCCCTGAGGGTACAGAGACAGGACAGAAACGTGGCTCAAAGCGTACATTACGGCCACCTTTGCCCTCGGGGCCTGGGTTCCTTTGGCAGCACGGATGTTTCTTGGCTCCTCATCCTCGCTGTCAGACACATCCAGGAACTGCACCCCTCGCTGGCGCTGCCGCTTGAAGTAAGACACTTTCCTTGTCCTCTGGGCTTCAGGAGTTTCTGGGATGGTGGAACAGTCTGTGCAAGACATTTCAATGGGAGAAGAAAGAGGAGACAATGACTTACAACTTCAAATATTCATTTGTACTCAGAGCATCAGGTAGATGTGATTTTTTTCAGACACAACAGTCAGTTCAACAGAACTCACTTTCTCATGCACACAAAATTCCTGTCAGCTGCATTTCTTAAAGTGGGAACTTACCTGGCAAAGGATCTTCAGCTCTCTTACATCAAACAATTTTTATATTACAACATTTATGAGAACATGTATTTTAGGTAAACAACTATTTATAAATGAACAAATAAATACTTATTTTTAGATAAATGAATAATAAGCAAAGTTCTCTGAACTACTTCCAGGCTTATCAGAACATGGACAGAAACAAAAGCACATTTCTCTCTTTTATCTATGAAGAGAGAAAAATTGATGCATAGAGCAGATGAACGTGACAGCTGCAGAGAACATTTTCCGTATGAAAGAAATCTCGTGGAAAATAAATTTTAAATAACACACTGTGGCAGCACTGAATGAAAGGAGAAAAATTATAAATCCTAGAAGTACAAGATATCTGCTGACAAGGGAAACTGCACAGGCTTTGAAAGGCAAAGGCACCCAATAAACTACAAAACTATGGTACCAAATGTTACAGAGTACACCACAGAAATGGAAGAAAACAACTTTAAAATGGAGCTTCATAGTGGCTAAAGGGATGGAGGTGAATGTAACTCAGTGTCTGAGAAAACATCAACAAGGGTTCAGTGACAGTTCAAAAGAGCAATCACTGAAGGCTTAAGAGTTCAGGTTGTTAAAAGCCTTCCTCGTCCAAGCATCCAGGAGCCACTCTGGCAGCAGCATCTGAGCTGGGACCAAGACCCTTTTGCAGCTACAGATCCCACATTCACAGAGTCACACCAGGTTTTCCAGAGCACTCTAAGATGTCTAGATCCCCAATATCATTTAATCATGGTACAGTAACAAAACCACAGCTCCAGCTGGTGCCTCTGAGGAGAAATTCCAAACAAAAAAATCCTGGGCTTTTACACCCTCACAGTCTAAGTGCAGGCAAGTCTGGAGCCATCAGCTCCTGAGTGTCCTGCACCCTGGCAGGGCCACAGGCACCTGGGACCTCTGTGCAAGGGGTCAGCAGTTCCCTGCCCCCTGCCTGGGGCTCTCCCCACCCACAGCTCAACCTGAGCCACTGAGCGACCTGCACTGAATGGATCCCTCAACAAGGTGACCTTAACCACACACAGGAAAAATCCAGGATAAGGGGCAGCAGAGTCAGCCACCAACTTCTGGGAAAACTGTGTTTTAGTGATACTACTGTCACTGGAAGTCCTCATGTAAAAAGATCTTAAATTCTCATAACACAAAGAAAGGATCACAGGCATCCTCTCCCCCTAAACACACCCATCCTTTTTTAAAACTCACGTGTTTGTGAACCAAGCACCAGGGATGCTGCTAAATCTGAAACCAGCGTTCTGGCTAGAAGTACAGGTAGTTTCTTCTGTCTCCACTCAGTAATGCAGAAACTTGCTGAGTCAAATTAATACCATGTAACATCAGTTTGCAAGGCTAATTTGCCAGCAGACAGTAGACACAGATGAAGCTAGAATAAACTAATCTGATAGTCAAATGCAGAAACAAGCTACATGGTGTATAATTCCTAGTTCCTATAGACCTAGTTTTAGTAGAGCTATCAAAATCTAAGTCTTTGTTATCACTTTCAAAACAAAATATAGGATTATGGCAATGATTTTTATAAGAGGCAAAAGTCTCACTTCGCAAATTAATCTTATTTTGAAAAGCCTATACACATGCAAATTTAGGAATGCATAAAAATTATTAGCTCTGAAGCAGTAGTACATGGTTCCAAGACAAACCTCCCTGCATCCAAGATAACATGCTGGCAGTGGAAGCTTCCTGAGCAGTACCTTCTATGTGTCCATTTTAGCAAGGAGCTGTGCTGTCCTTGATGCACTTGCTTCATCTAAGTTTTTAGATGAATACAGGAGAGACTTTTGGGAACATTATGAAGTTGGGTTGTCAGGGCAAAGGCTATCACAATGGGACAGAAAAAATGCATTTAAAAATGTGATTCAATATCAGAACATGTGTGTAAGAAACACGAGAATTTCACATCTATACTGAATTAAGAGAACAGATCAAGGCAGCTTTCATAGATCTTTGCCTTGTAGATTAGACTAAATTTCAAACAAATTCCCCTTGTAAGCAGTGTGACACGGAAATGACAGGTGCTCATGACAACTTTGCTAAGAGGCACCCTTACTGAATTCAAAGGAAAAACACCAGGAAATTTTACAAAAATATGACAGTCTTAAAAGTAATTTTATTCTTTACAGCATAAACCTTAGATAAGATTTATAGTTAAGTAAAGAGTCTTCACTGTTTCACTTAGTGATTTCTTTTTATTTTTATTTTATTTAGCAATTACAAGTCTTCATGACAGTTCCTAACTTCCATATTTAAAAAATGCTGAGTTACTTGATGGAAACAAAAGCATTCTCCCTCTCAAAAAAAGCCCAGTCTTCTGCCCTTCCTCCACCTATCCCACTAAACAGAGTACCCTACTAACTGGAGGGGAAGCAGAAATCACACATTTAATAAGGAATCCTAATATTTAGAGCAAACTGCAACCTTGTAGAGTAGTAATAGATTAAAGTTATAGCAAGAATATGTAATTGTTGGAGGCAGAATTTTCTGATTACAGCAATTCAAAAGAACTATTAAGGAATGCCTGCAATCATAAGACCAGATTTTGACTCTGAGGCCAGAAATAGGAACACTCATAAATATCCCTGTATGCACACATTAACATAAAAACCAAAACCCAACAACAACCACCAATTTTTGCTACCACAAAAAGAGAATACACTGCCCTGTAATTCTCAACACAACCTCCTACACAAATCATACACCTCACTCTGAGAAAGCCAGCTTCTCTCCCAAGTAAAAACAAAGGTAAAACCAAAGCAAAAACTGAGGCAATACTTAAGAGGCTTACCACATTTACTAACATTGTCCAACAAGCATTGTCAAATAGAAAGGAACTTCCACCTAGTTTTAGAAAGCAGCATCAAGCACATGCTGCTCAAGCCTACATGGTAATAAGAATTCCCTTTTCAAAGAAAAGTCTTTTACATTGGCTGAAATAATCCTAAATGTCAGTATTAGTCTAAGGTACTTCTTAAAGCTGCCCTTTTAAAATGATGATTACTTCAACATATCATCTTATGAACCCTTAGAAAACTTCACTTGATACTGCAGTCATCACTTCTTTCCAGAAACACCCTACATAGAATTACACTCTATGAACTGAGACATAGGCAAAAATCAGGACTTCCACAGATTCCAGAGAAAATGACAACAGAACAAAAAAGAGCAGTGCCAGTGCAAGTGAGCTAGCTCTGAGCATTATAATCTCAAAGTGTAGTCATTCAGGATACACATTCAAACAACAGAGAGAGGATATCAACAAAATCAGCCATCAGTAATGGGGTTACATATTGTAGTTTAATTTATTTTACAACTTTTATTTCAATTATTTTTGGAAGCTTAGTAAGCATGGTTTTTTGAGACCTGAAGAAAGGCCTCATTTTGAAATTCATGTTGGTAATTATTCTAATTTGTGCACTTCTGGTACAGTTCTGCTCCATTTCTACAACAGTGTAGACTAATCTCATTATCTTAGTATACTGAGCTATTTACATAATTAAAAACATCTAAATGAAAATTAAGATGCTTGTTTCCTTAACAGATTAAGAGATTGAGTAAATATTACTATTCAGTAAATAATACTCATTTGCATGAAAAACTGTAGTAAGCAACTCCAGTGTATTTTTCTAACTCTTTTTAGAGATATCTACCATATATAATTTGGTGACTGTCCCCAGAATTGGTTTCTATCCCTCAGTAAATGCAGTGCAGAATTATTCCCTACAACCTGGCTGCAAAGTCACTGCAGGCCTGAGTAATTTTGAGCACAGACAAGTGTACAAAGATGACCAATTCTTGTGGCCATCACACCACAAACTGCTTACTGAAGCATAAGGGATGAATGTTCAACACAAAGGAATGAGAAGCACGACCCACAGACATCAAGGGGGAACAGAACCATCTACCAATGTTAGCTTGTTCTGGGAAAACAAAACTAAAGAAAACAGCTAAAAAGGTAATGGTGGTTCATGACACAACAGTCAACATCTGACTATACTTTTTGAAGATGGATGACATTTAGACAATCCTATACTTTGTAAGACGCATATTTCAGGGCACTTGATAAAACAGAAATACAAAGAAATCTCTTGGAAATTATACTGAACTATTTGTGCTCCTAAAGGATAAAGATTTTTAAATTCTTTTTAGATCCACACAGTGGCTGGACTATATCAAAGTTGTTAGCAAAAAAAATCCAACCAAGTTGTTAGGGATTTAACAGCATTTTTGTTTGCATAAGTGAAATAAAGATCACACTCCTCTTCTTTCCCCAGTTTCTTGTATTTTACTTGTATCAGTATTTTGTCAATCACTTTGTCTTCAGAAGAAATCTGAGTAATAGCTGTCCTCACATGATTCACTGAGCATTAGGACAAGTCATTCTGGTGAGCCTGGTGTAAACTGCTTCTCACACAGAACAACTCCATAACCTGACTTGTTGGTGCAGTTAGCTGCAGAGAGTGACATAAACTCAGCTTTGGGCCTTTCCATGACCACTCAGCAATAACAAACCCAACAAAAAAACCCTGACTGTTTTATTTGACCCAAACCAAGAAAAATTCTGTCTTCCTGACATTAATTAGGAAACAAGGAGGACAGGCATGTGCTCATCAAATCTAGTCTTCTCTATTACATTTAAGTGCCCCATATCATGCAGACAAAATCTGAGTGTTTAATTTTTTGTTAACTTCTGTAGATGTAGAAAATGTGATTTCATTTCTTAAAAGGTTATTAATTCTTTAAAAGGGTTACATAACATTGATGTACAAATAAGTAGGAGAAAATCTTTAAACACTCAATATCTGTGAAAGATGAAGCATTATGTATTTGCAGAGCACTACTAATTACACCTCAATTTTAAATGTTAATTAGTGCCCCAGTTCTCCACCAGCATCGGCGTGCATGGATGCTTATTCCAGTTGGACACCTGCTGCAGTTCTGCCTGCTCTTGCACTCTACCCCGTTTCACTGTTGGCTACCACCATCTCCCACCAGTTTTCCTCACAAGCACTCAGCCTTGCATTCCATGTCTTTTAGGCTGGCCTTCACCTTTCTTTTTATTACCTTGTATCTAAACTAATGCCTCTAAATTGGGTATTACATCCCTTCTCCACAGTCCTACCCCTGCAGAACTGAAGTCAAGGGAAACCAGCACTTTGAAAAACAAGCAGTGAAATCTGTTGTCCAGCTGCATGCTTACACTGACAAAGCCCACAGGCAGATTAAAGGAAGAAGCACAACACTAAAATAAAGTAAATCCCCAAACCACTAAGGCACAAAACAAGCAGCACCATGCATTACTGCACAACTACACTCACAGTTCAAGAAGGGCCCCTGCACTTAGTAACTCCTCCACAGCACAAGCCAATGATTTACCACCCTCAGGAAGGGAGCACCTGTTCCAAAGGGCACTTCCTCAGAGTGCCCGTTGTGCCACACAGGCATTACAAAAGCACATCAGCAGGAACCAGAACTAACAGCTGCTCACTTCTTCTGTAAAGTCCTCCCTGTCACCAAAATTCTTTGCAACAGGTTACTAGTTCCAGACTGGCAACTTACATGTTTTATATATTTTAATGTAGAACACTGCTTACTATTTACTAATGTAAACACAAGAGCACTCCCGTCAACTGACAACGGTCAACCTGCACTAAACCAAATTTAGGGAAGAGTAAATATCCACCTCCTGTAATTCTGACTTCACTCAGTTTTAAAACAGGAACTGCTCCTCGTGCATGAATGGTTCTCTATTATCACCTAGATGAGGTGTTGTGAAAAACTGCCTTGCACCAAGAGAAAGTCACCTGCCAAAAAATGTAGTTAAACAACATCAAGAGACATTGTTTCATTTTTTGAATAAATGCACTTTCAAAGTCTGTCTGATCTCTCGTGTAACACCTGTAATTTGACAACTATACCACAAGTCATATGCTATGTCTGAGAAATAATAAAATAATCAGCAGCAGATACTGTCTGTTTCTCGAATGCCTCAATAACAGGAAAAACACTCTGGTGAATGTGATTACACAGACAACAGCAATTTCAGTTCTTAGTATTAACCAACAAATCCAGACAGGAACAGCACATCCCTACTCAGTCTCAGCCAAAGGAAACTAACACACTACGACACAATCCAGGTTTTGACATTTCCATGAAAACCCCAAGCTTCTGCCCCAAAAGAGGACAAACACTACAAAAAACCACTAACACAGCTTCTGAGAATCAGTACCAGGTCTCTCAGCTCTTTACCAAACCAGGCCCAAGTGAAAAGAAACTTCCCTATCTTTTCAATTCCATCTATAACGCTCCATGATACATTAGATAAGGCCTCCACTGAGAAAATTAAGTCTACAGTGTTGCATCTATCAGGCAATTAAAAGTAAAAGCCATTTTTTCCTTGAAAACACTGAAACGCTAGCATAAAATAAGTATCAGTAAACAGAGTTTAGAAATAGGAAAACACAACACTCTTTCAACATTAAATCTGAAACTTACTTAATCAATTGAAAAAAAACCAAGTTATTTCAGGAGGTTAACAACTTGCCTGTAAATGCACATGTTCAATTAGAGCATACACTGCTGCGAATGAGGACACTTTAGTGGAAATTGTTGTGAAAGGTTTGCACAGAACAACACGTTTGTAAAACAAGCAAAGGGGGAAAAACCCAAAATGACAAACACCAAAACAAAAGACAAAATTAGTTCATTTTTAGAAATTAAGGACTTCCATTGCCCTTCATGCAAAACACGTGACTCACCGGTTCTCTCTGTCACGTCCGAAGCCGGAGTGCTCGGTCTCTTGTTGTCACCCGCACCTTCCTCCTCCTCGGCTCCGGGGGCGCGCACGGCAGCGCCAGGTGCCTCGGCGCAGGCGGCCGGCGGGGACGGCGACACCGACACCTGCTCCGCGCCCTTCCCCCTCCTCTCGAAGCGGAACCGGTCCAAATTGTAGAGGCTCATATTCTTAACCTTCCTGTGGGAAGAGCCACAAGGGAAGGGGAGAGAGCCGGCAGGGCCGGTCTAATACAGACAGTAAAAAGCAAGCGAAGGGGGGCCGGCCGGTGCTGCCAGAGGAACGCGCTGTCAGGCAGCAGGAAGGCTCCTGCCCAACCATCCATCCGCCCACCCACCCACCCTCCGTCCCTTTCCCCCGCGCTCCCCCGGCCTCCCTCCTCATCTCAGGGCGGCGGGCCCCACACGCACCTGTGGCGCAGCGGGAGCGGAGCGTGAGCGGCGGGCAGGGCGGGCCCGGGCCGGCCCCAAGGGCAGCAGCGCGGGCCGGCGGCAGGGCGGGATGGGGCCCGGGCAGCGGCGCGAGCACGGCGCGCTCCCCTCAGGAGCGGGGCGCGGGGCTGCTGCCGGCGCGCGGCGATGACGTCACGGCCGCTCCCGCCAATCGCCGGGCCGGAGCGAGCGGGCGCGTGCGCCTCTCGTGTGGAGGGCGGCGGGAGGCGCTGCCCTGAGGGGCGGGAGGGACGGCGGGGCCCGGTCCCGCGTCTGCGGGTTCTGGGGCTGCTGCCGGGACCGAGCGGGTCCAACTCCACACACCGCACCTGCGAGTGACGTTTGTGATTCTAGATCATCGCGTGGTCACACCCCGCCCCACAGTTCCAAGTTGAAAAGTTTGGGCGGAGAGCCGCGGAAAAACCATCATGGGAGATTTGGATCCCTAAAATACGGGATCGTGCAATCGAAGAATGGTTGGGATTGGAAGGGTCCTTAAAGACTCCTCGTTCCGAGCCTCTGCCATGGGCAGGGACTCCTTCCACAGGCTAGAAACCCATCCAACCTGGCCTTGAACACTTCAGGGATGGGGCACTCACGACTCCTCTGGGCAACCTGCTACAGTGCCTTACCAGGAGCACTGTAATGAATTCCTTCCGAATGTCTAATTTAGGCCTACTCCCTCTGAGTTTGGAGCCATTACCCCCTTGCCCTGTCCACTTACACACTCGTGTAAAAGTCTCCATCTTTCTTGTAGGCTCCCTTCAGGTACTGGAAAGCTACCATTAGGTCTCCCCTAAAGCCTTCTCCTCCACATCCAGCCTCTCGTCCAGCAGCACCCCCGAGTCCTTCTGGGCAGGGCTGCTCTCAATCTGTCCATCCCCCAGCCTGTGTTGATACCAGGTTTGCCCTCACCCAGGTGCAGCACCTTGCACTTGGTCTTGTCAAACTCCATGAAGTTCCCATAGACCCACTTCTCAAGTTTATCCAGGTCCCTCTGGATGGCACTGTAACAGCACACATCATAGCTGAGACAACCAGGATACACAGAGGATCACCATACAAATCCAGAAGGCTTCAACCCATACGTACCACTTCAGAAGGCTGCAAGCATGTGCCCTTCTTGTTCTTCAGCCCAACCCTTTATACCCTCATGTTGATGCTTTGCACCTGTGTGCCCTCTGTTCCCTTTGGTGATGGGTCAGTGCCCCTGGGCACTCCATGGCTCATTGCTGTCAGTGCTGCTCACCTGCTGCTCACAGCTGTGCCCATGGGGATGAGGCTGGACACAGCCCCACCCCAATCACCACAAACTGTGTACCTACATGGTACCCCATCCTTCAGGTGTGGACTTAGGGCAGTTTTCAGCTTAGGTTCCTCAGTGTGTTTCCAGCATTGTGTTCCTGTGGCAGAATAGGTGGGAAAACTCCTCCTTTTGCTGTCTTGGGTCAGACCCTGCTGCCATGCTGGGTTTCATTGGATTTGTGGTCACAGAGCACATGCAGCTGGGTGTGCAAAAGCACCTGAGGTTACCTGGTATTGCACAGAGAACTTCGCCAGGGCTGAAATGGTGACCTAAAATGCTAAAGAGGTACTGAAACTGCCTTTACCCCTTTAAGATACCAGCCAGCCATGAAATAAAGTGTTTAAAAGCCTGGCAGTAATGAATAAGCATTATACTGGCAAGCCAGGTGCAGCAGCTAACAAAGACATTCTGGAGAGATTAGGCTGGCTAACAGAAAACCAGAAAAAGAAGCCACTTACCCATTCATTGTGCCAGCTCTGTACGTCTGGGCTCACAGGATGTTCCTTCACCCTTTAAGTTATTTGACTTTTAAATTGCCATAGTCAAACACCTGAGAAGCAAAAGGATTTGGAGGAAATCAAGCTTCAGTGACGATGTCTTGCCTTCACATCAAATATTTATCTACAATTTGGATCATAGATGAGTTTAAATTTGTTGGAAACTGCCTTCTGCTAATCCCAAATACAAATAATTGACAGTGTAAATGGAGCAGAAGAGTGATTTCTCCCCCAGAGGTGGATGCCAAGAGTCAGGTGGATTTCAGACTGGCTGGTGTCTGAAAAGTGCAGTTCAGAGATCATCTGAGGTTATCCTCTGAGGAGGGCTAAACTGTGCTGGAGAAGGAGTGCCTGGGCTAGACTCACTGTTGACATGTAAAAAGGCAAGAGATCAAGGGCTTTCATGCACAGAGCAGGTCAGTGTGAAAATGGAAGAGAGTTTTGCCTGTCAGCACAAGCTCAGACTCCTACCAACTTGAAATTCCACCCACTTAAAAGGCAAGTTACCCCAAAAATGGGAATAAAGAAGGTTGTAGGTACATCAGAAGTAAAGCTGGGTGTGGATTAGAGGAGGAAAAAAGTATCGTCCATGAGGACACTTTTTACTTTAGCTCAGAGAATTTGGCTCTTTCTTGGCATTTGATAATCATGGCAAAGCTCATGAGCTTCTCTGCAAAGCATTAGTACTGCTGTGAGCACCTCTGGTGTTCTTGCCTCACACTGACTTATCACAACACATTGAGCATCTAAAGGTTAAGGACTCTGACAAGACTTTGACCCCTTTTTCCATGAGGAAAGGATGACAAACTGTGCATGTGATAGGTGCTGAGCCAAGGTGTTTGACTGACTTAGAGGACACAGCCAAACAATGCTGTTAAATGTGCAGAGAAAAAAGAGCTGTGAGGCTGCAAAGCTGAACAAGTAATGTTGGAAAAGGTGAGAAAAGAAAGGTGAAACTTGGGAAAGTGTAAAGGGGAGCATACACTCATGTCAGTCTGTGTTTGTGCCTCAACAAGACAGTCAGGAACCTTAGTCTTGGGGAAAAAGTAGTAAGAAAAAACCCACAAATTCCAGAACTTTGGAGAAAAAAGCCAAGTTTAAGATAAGAAAACAGCGAAAATGAAGAGAATTAAACAGAACACTCCAGAACATGCCAGTTTTAAAAGCATGTTTACAGGAATTAGCATGAACCTACAAAATGCTGCAGCAGATTACTTCAGTTTTTACAGTGCTTTGAACCTGGAAAGACTGGGTAATTGGTAGGTATTAATATTGTTAACAAGCTATTGTGAATTCCTGGCAAGCAAGGCAAGCAAAATGTCTTTTTTGAGGTGCTAATGACACTGGTTAGACAGCTCATGCTTACTGGAGAACTGACAGATTGCTGTCTGCAATTGTTTTGAAGGCTAATTTGTGAGATTTTTTTTAAGAATGGCAGCAGAAATTTGAAAAGAATCTATTTATATACAGATTTGCTTTACATGCAACATTAGAGCTGTTACATTTGAGTTGTTTTTACTTAAGACACAGTTTTGTTGCTATGCCAGTGATAGAGGAGCATACCAGATGGTATGTAGGCCTTCAGAGAACTTTATGAAGGTTTATAGATCAGTGAAATATAATAATGGCCTGAACACTGAAAAAAGCCAAAGAAAACAAAAATATCAATTTAAAATTACTTATTTTGAAATTGATGCAAATTGAGTTTGCATTGCTCTTAGTAGAAGCAAATTCAGTTTTAAGAGTTTGATAATACAAGTTAAAACCTGATGAGATACAAAGAGTCACATTCTGTGTTACATTTTACAAGTTGGCAAGGCAGTAAAATTGTTGTTCACTAGGAAATAATCAGCCAAGACAAAAAGTATCTACAGCAGTTCCTGACAAGTTTCTCCTGTTTCAACTACTGTTCCTTAGATTCATGTCCTTTTTGTGCCCTGTCACTTCACCAGCTTTGTATTGAGGGAAGGTCTACCTCAGCTACCTCATGAGAACCTCTCAAGTTGTACTGTGGTGTAAAATCAACAGGGTCTGTGACAGGTAAAGCCTCACAGCACCTCTGTTGGGGATTGCCCCCAAATATTGTAGAGGACTGGGGACGTTTTTTTCTGCTTTGTGAGCAGCAAAACCGGTTGTCAAATGCTGGTGGGTTTGTACCTGATTCTAAATAATAACAATTAAAAAAACCTAACAAAAATTTTTAAATCTATTAAAATGTTAAAACTAATTCAGCTCCTACCAAAAAAGCATCTGTAGTTGAATGTAGCACATGATGTTGCTGTAGCAACATCACCATAACTAAATAATGAATATCCAAATTATTTTGTTGTGTGAGCTGCACAGTGATGGCAGAGTAAGGCCTCAGGTGGAAAATTTCTCTCCTCTCTTAGACAAGGCTTTTTTTTTTTTCCTTTTTACTGTCCATTGCATAGACAGGGAATTTTTCTACTCAACAAACAATAAAAAAGAACACTCTTTGGGAAAGAATAAGAGAATAAGACTGGTTTTGTTGTAAAACAGGTTTTATATTGGTACTACTTTATATAAGTATAATTTTTTTGTGTGTATGTAGATAGTTTACAACTGTCTGTTGTGGTTCATGTTTTCTAGGAACATGAACCATTCTACTACTCTACTACCACTCTAGAACATTTCTACTTTTTCCTCTTTTCTCACCTGAGGTTGTTCTCAGTAATTTATTTCCACTACTGTTATTTCAATATTGAGTTTATGATATATACTTATATATTTATTTACATATATGTATGTGTGTATGTATATATGTGTGTGTGTGTATTTATATGTATATACATATAGTTTCACTAGTTAAAAAGTAAACACATTTTAGTTTATTTTTCTCCATTTCTCTGAAGTAGTTAGTTGTTCTTTTTTGAGTTTAAATGTATTTGATTAAGAAACAAGAGAGAGAAAAACTTGAGTGTAGAATTTCAGACATTGTGCTTGCTACCCATTTCATGCATTTGGGCAAATGCTCTCTCAGAAATCAAACTAACCATAATCAAAGGTCTGGCTAGCTCTCAAAAGGCTGTGACTTATCAGAAACCATGCATCCACAATACTTCTGCTGAGGTTTTTGTTTTAACTCTCAGGTGAGTATTACTTACAAGCACCCACTGAATTGTGGATGGATCTGCCTAAGGCTGGGACACCAGTTTCACAGGGACAATTGTGGAGTTTCCCATTTCATTCTGCTCCCACAGCACATCACCCATGCAGAGTTGACCACAGGACTGCAGGCTATCTTTAGATCCTTTAATCCATTCATGATAACATGTGGATCATCATTTGCTGCCCAATT